TCCTCAAATTCTATCTTGCTCACCGCTTCCCTGCTCTCAAATGACGCCCATCCCATGTCTCCTTGTACTCCTTGGTTTGGTGTTTTGCAAAAAAAAAAAAAAAAATTGGGTTGTGTGTGTTTATACAGCCTAGAACTTGGTCTGCCTCACAGGGGCGACGAGTCTCCCAGCTGTAGATGAGAAATTTAGCCAGTGCGGTACAAACCGCTACCTGGGGTCTTTAACGTGCGTCACGCAGTAGTGATACACGACCGCACGCCGGTACGATGCTCATCCAGATCGAAACGGGCAGGGGTGGGGCTCGAACCCAGTATCCCTGGGTTCTGCAGCGCGAGCTTTCGCTCCACGTGCTCCGAGCTGGTGTGCGCTAGACCACTCGGCCACCGATCCCCCTGGTGTTTTGCAATGTGCCCCCAAAGCCAGTCTACCTACTCCGCGCTGTTTTATTTCTAGTCTCGCATGCACTTCGGATTTCATGCATAGCACTGCGTTTCCAAAAGTCAAGCCAGGCACCGTGACCCCTTTCCAAATCTCTCCCACCACCTCATACCTGTTGTAATTCCAAAGTGCTCTATTTTTCATTACAGCTGCATTTCTGTTGCCCTTATTTATTATATACTTTTCATGCTCATTGAGATATTCTGCACCATCACATATCCATACTCCTAGATACTTGTATTTACTAGCTCTCTCAACTGTAATATTCTGTATCTTCAGCCTCTCAACTTCATCATCGTTAAAAATCATGACTGCTGATTTTTCACTACTGAATTCTAAACCTAATTCCTCTCCTTCCCTACCACAGATGCTCATTAATTCCTGCAACTCTGTCCTGTTCTTAGCCATTAGTACGATATCATCCGCACACATCAATCCCGGTAAGGATTGCCAAATTTTTTGGCCTAGCTTACTGTAAGAAAGGTCGAATCCAAGCCCACTCTTCTCTAGTCTATCCTCCAATCCTCTCAGATACAACATAAACAGCAAAGGAGATAACGGGCACCCCTGCCTAAGGAGAGCGACCTGCCTAAGGCAGGTCGCTCTCCAGTGTGGCAGTCCTCGGAAGCTTCGGCAGCCAGAAGCTGGGACGCTGTGACGACAGCAACACTCGCGCTCGGTTGTGCTACTCTGAGCTTCTCGTTAGCATTTCTACGAGCAACCGACATGATCGTGACATGCAACAGCATGACACTCCGGCTTTTGCGGCGTAATTTGTTGCCCCTTCGGGACCACTTTTGACGTACGAGAAGCACAGGACGCTGAACACACAAGTCGAAGACACGCTCCAGGCACCATAATACAACTAGAGGGATGTGTGCACTTGTTGATGCCTGTTTTGTTCCCCTTATTACAATTGTTGGTGCCGACCATACGATCATACAATTCAGGGAAAGCTCCTCCCACCTCTTTCCATTTTAGCAGGGCGAACGCTCGAGAATCGGTCTCCTCCTAATACTTAATACTTCGACCGTGGTCAGAACAGCAACTTCAATCACATTCCCCGTTTTTCAAGGTTCAAGTTCGTAGGAACAACAAAGTTGCAAAAAATTTTGAGGTATCAAGAGGCATACATTAAGCATGTGAAAATACTCAGAGTGTGATTGCAGCCAGTGCCAAGACCATGCTTAGTTCTGGCACCGTGAATGCATACTAACGACCATTTAACAAAAGCTGAATTGTGATGCTGTTATGTTGGAGCAACGAGAACCTAGAATGTAAGGATAGAAAATAATCTATGAAGGTACCCTCAAGACAGTCCCATCCCAATCTGCAATTATGAAAATAAGAATACCCCCAACTACACCCTGCTCAAGTATCCCTAAGGGTATAAGTAGCTGTTAGAAAACCCCTGCCCAAAGGGATAAACAAAACTTATTTTATGGTTATTTTACTACTAACTACCGACCTTACTTTATAAATAGCAGCACAATCGCTAGCTATCGGCTGTCTCGGTAAGACTGTCTTGAGCAGTCTTGTCATATCAATTTCGACTCTGTGTGTCTGCTAAAGTAAAAGGAACTAATGAGGTAACAACAGAAGTATAATACAGATTGCTTTCAAGGACTAACCAGTGTGTTTCGAGAGCTGATCTGCCCTGATAAAGTGTTCAACATTTTAAGACAGTAGCTGGAAATCAGCCAGCTATAAAAACCTATAAAAAAAATGAAAGCCGTTTACAACTCCCTGTAACGCCGAATTGGAGCACAGCTCTTGAGGAGGAGAAGGGAAGGGTACTGAGGGGAGGGTATATTCCTCCTCCCTCGTGATTCTGCCCGCTACTACTGAACGAAAGGGCTCCGGTTCGAAGCCAGCCGAGGGACAAGAGATAAAAGTCTTTGTAATGAAAATTCGGATTCGTACCCCCTGCTCATCCTCCCTGCTCCCCTTTCTCTTCTCCCCTCACGGGGGTCAAGTGACCTCACAGTTACGCCGACGGTGACGCCGCTCAAGCCGTAAACGGACGCCTAAGAGCTGCGCTCTAAAAAAATGTTGACCTCTCAATGAGGGCTTTCTCCATGGCCTCTTCTGTGCTAAAAACACCAGCCTTCACCCACTGATCCACATCCAAAACTGCGACCAACCATTTTTGCAGATGACGTCGAAAGTTAACATATTCTGTGGTGACTTGGAGTATGAAACGGAGGAATATTTAAACTGCCACACTCTTTGCATGAAAAATCACAACCACCCTCATTTAGCAACAACATTCGGGGTTGCTAAATGAAAAAGTGTGGTTGTCTGTGAAAGTCTGCAGTCATTTTATTTTTTATTCTTACTATATTAAGTATTCATAATCACTACACGCTCGCCTTAAGCAGCAACAATGAGGATGTATTATGACTGGCACGCCTAGTCTGATGAAGGTTCCAGCCACCAACATTGGGCCTCTATAGATCAATATGCTGTTTACAAACAAGCTGGTGTTTGCCCACACCAGCTGTGGGCACTGCAGAAACCGTACCAATTGATCAGTCAACACATGCACCGCACAGGCACCACCGCCACCACAGAGGCGTGACATCAGAGTCGGTCACTGGTGTTTATCTTGTAGCAGTAGTCTCCACAACACCACCAGGTTGTGAGGTTGTCACTTTGTCTATCTGAAGACTCCTCACAGACATGACAGTGTAACTTCCACTGCTGTTTGCAGATGCAGAGGAATGCACTGAGTACACATGATGTTTAAGTACCATACTTACCAGACTATAGGGGACTATAGTCTGAAGTATAGGGACAAATTTCGGGTGAAAAAACGTTTCTTTCTGAGTACCACACAGTGCATAGTTCCTACCAGTGCATAGTTTGCACATAAAAGCATTCTCTCATATACAGCGGGCCAAAAAAACATGCAAAATGCTCACTTTAAAAGTGCACAAAGAAATTATGATTAACATAACCTGCGACTCACAAAATCTGTCATGTCTCATCATAATGAACTACCTTGAAAAACTAACCCTTGTATAGGGCTTGCTTTTCTTGTAGATAATCTACAAAATCTGAATTTTCAGGTTTTAAACGTGTATAGTCAGTGGACTATAGTTAGGAAAACAGAATATATTGCCTCTAAAGGTATTCTGCAACAGTTTAGATTTGTGTAGTTGCGAGGCTCCATCAGCTTAGAAGTTGAAAAGGGGTGCCCGTTTTTCTACCTTTGGCCAGTGGGAACCTCAAATGTCAGAACTAGCCCTTATGGTCCCTTCAAGTACCCGTAGGGGTACAAGTACCACAGTTCGGAAACTTCTGTAGCAAACCCATTTTTCTCTAGATAAGAGAGACACTAGATCAACCAGAAAATTCACAATGTTGGCATCACTGAAGCTAGATTTCAATGAAGTGCCAACAACGCTGCATACGGAATTCAGAAGTGCATGTTCTCGTTCGTGAAAGCAGAGCAGACCATGCCATAACATATTTACATGGACATAAGTATAATCTAACTGCTTAGCCTTAGACATAATGGCAAGAAAAACCTATCTCCAGTGCACCTAGACACTTTAAAGGGGCACTCAAGTGCTTTTAGTAAGTAGAAGCTTGTTCTTGATGTATTGTTTGTTGGGCTTCAGTCAGTAAAAATGACCAGCGCTAGATGGCAAGACATGCAGTAAACTTGTAGCAATAGAAATGCACAGGCTCTAATTTTTCCTGAGGGGAAGGGGGGAATTCTTGGGTCCCCCAACATCCATAAAATCCGACCAATTAAACTAGTTAACTGTCTGGAGATTCTAAATGTTACTCTTATTGCTCTTTTTAGGCACGATGTGCATTATATTTTGACAAAGATGTCAAATCTTTGGGTGCAGGAGACTTAATCCAGCAATTATTGTTTGAAACTGACACGAGTGACAGTATGTGCCCTGCTTGCAGCCCAAAAACGCAATCCGACGGCGCCTCCCTGGTGTCTGTTCTAAGCAGAAAGAGGGGCGTGTCGCGATTTGATTAGATATTTTTATAGGGAAATCTGTCGCCCATGAGTAATTTTGGATATTTAAGGATGCTTAGAGGTCATAGATTGAGTTATCACCATAAATAGGCAATCTCAAAATCCACCTGAGTGCCCCTTTAATAGCTTTGCAGTAATTTTTGCACACACACACCTATATTCCTAAAAGACTTTGTGGAACTAGTTGGCCTAGTTGCATATATTTTTTCTGGCTCGAGTCCACGTCAATCAAACGGCACTGGTGGTCGTTGTGACCAAGATGAATTCTTCTTTCCCTAGTTAAAACTGTTGAATACAGGACTATGCCCGACTGGCCTCCTGAAAAACCTAGTGGAGGCAACAGGAGACCAGTCGGGGCCTCGCTTCTACCGCACCAAGAGGAACACAGAAGAATATGCATAGGAGCAGGTGGCTCTGCCAGAACGCACTGCCGCATGCACATGTCCTCCGGGGAGAATGTGAGCAACGCCAACCCCCTGGAGGCAGCCATTATGGTGTCGACCGGGCAGGAACGCTCTGCCAGCAGGAGACATGCCCACGAGAGAAGGGATTCACTCACCGCTCGGGTTGCCTGCAGGCCTTGCCAGCACCCAGAAGTCGATGGACTTCTCCTTGTCCAGCTGCTCGTAGTCCCACTTCTCCTTTACCTTGACGTCCCCGTTGGCGCTCACGTGGACCCAGCGGTCGGGCTTCTCCAGCTCGAACGTCTCGTCCACGGCCTTCTTGTCCAGCGTGAAGACCGTCTTGTTCACGTCGCGGCCATCGGTCTCCTTGTACAGGTAGCTCTTCGTGGGGCGCACGATGATCGAGGAGCGCCGTATCCGCACCACCGAGTCTTCCTGGCTGCTCGCCGGAGCCGCTTCGTCCGGCTCGAAGGCGTCCACGTAGACGGCCACGGTGGGACCGCGACGTGGAGGGGTGCCCCGGTCGCGGAGTCGCACCGCCAGCTTGTACGTTTTGGGTTCGAGGCCCCGCGTGAGCATCAGCTCGCCAGTCTTGGGGACCATGGTGAAAAACGGGTGCCGGTCGCTAAGCCGGAAGGCGACGGCGTCTCCGTCCGAGTCCGTGGCACTCACGTTGCCCACGATCGAATAGGGCTCGGAGCTTAGAGGCACGCGGAAGGTATAGGACCGGCGCTCCGGCACCGGATCGTTGTCGTTTACGTCGAGGACTTCCACGACCACGCGGGTCCGGGCAGACTCGAGGCCGTTGAAGGCTCGAATGGTCAGGTCGTAGCGGTTCTGCGTCTCCCTGTCGAGTGGCGTCCGGGCGCGTAGCACCAACCGCGTTGAATTTCGAGACAACGGGGACAGATGGAAGGCGCCGTCGTCATCCCCCGAGACGATCTCGTACCTGACATCGTCACGACAGGAGTCGGTCGTCGCACCGTCCAGCACGGCGACCTGGGCCCCGGGCAGCCCGTTTTCGACGATGCTGGCACCATACTCTTCCTTCGGAAAGCGCAGCATACTCTGCTGCGGTACGACGTGCACCGCCAGCGCTTGTTCGCGGTCGGACCTCTCGGGGGAGGGGGGAAAGTCGGTCTCGCGCAGTATTAGCGTTCCGGGCCGTCCCACGAGGTGGGATACGTTTGAAGTGACCATGAGCAGGCCGTCGCTCAAGACGTCAAAGCAGCGCGCCACCCTGAGGTCCCCGTCTAGCCCAAACGTCTGTCCCACGTAAGGCAGCCGCTTGACACCATAGCCCGGATAAACGTTGTCGGGAAGAACCACGACTGTCGAGGCCGACTTGGAAGCCGAGGCGACTGCCGAGGCGGCGACCAGCAGCGCGCAGATCAATCTTGGAGGGGGCGCCATCGCCCGACAGCACCGCGTGTCGCTCGCTGGGTTCGGGCCGTGGATACCCGAAAGCCCGTCTCAGAGTAGGACCGGCCGACGCATGCAAGGCGTCGTGCCTTCTTCACCGCCGCACGGGCTCCGCCACCGCCACACCTGAGGCGGGAAACATCGCCAACGTTAGGCGCACACCGCCGGTGCCGCACCGGACAGCGCGCCGTCCAGAGTCAATGCACCCTGGCGTAGCGTACTGCCGAGACGCTCGGCGTCCTCACTAAGCCTAACGCCGAAACGGCCCGCAAGCAGCTTTGCGAGCAATGCAACCAATGTTCCGCGTCAAAATTAAGCCGCGGAGCCCACCGGAGAATAGACTGGGTATCTCCGTTGGGCTCGCGAGCGTCAGTTTAACATTCTGGAACTGCATTCAATGAAAAAACACGAAACATCTACTACTGACGGCGAGCAGAACGGTACCGACCCTAGCTGGGCCAGGCGCAAAAAATTCGATTTATGCACGGACTAGCCGGTCATTTGGAAGTTTTAGCGCCTGTCCGCTTTGTGCAACAACTTCACATGCAAACGCTCCACACGAATAAACTTTTGAAGCACGATGAGCGAGATTCGGATCACGAATGCTCGGCTGAAAGGAGGGAGGGGGGGTGTGCGGTCCGAGCATAATAGATGTCACTCCGTTAGGCACCTTTCCGTTCCCACTGCACGGAAACTTAAGCTCTAAAAGTGAAAACCGAACAGACGTTTTCATAGGACGTTAAGGAACGATAACTTACCTTCCAAAATAGAGTTTAAAGGCATAGAAAAGCGCATGCATGCATTTTCGTACAGCTCAAAACACACGCACCTATCCACACCAAGCCGACTCGAAAGACAACGGCAGAAGCAGCCATTCTTTGAAAGAAGCCACCACCCCCTCTTTTTTGAAACTGAACCAACTGAGCCCACTAAACCGCCAGCAACTCAAAAAGAAAAGTTTAAAGTATATATAAATGCGTAATTTTACTTATTTAAGAAACTTATTCCTTAATTTAGTTCTATATAAATTTATTTTGAGGCCAGTTTGTGGTTTCTGCTCTGACACTTGTCCAGTGCGTAAGGGGGTAAAGCATCTACTTAGAACAGCCGCTGAATTCATGTTTTTTGTTACATTTGTTAGAAATTTTCTCCCTCCGTGATGACTCTTGTCATTTGTATGTAGTGCGGTGACACAGCGTTTGAAATGGAGCGTTGCGTCTTTCAAAAGTTACCTTGTATATATACCAACATGCTCTCATGAAGCGATGACAAATTTGCTCCGAATATTCGGCATCACAGCGGAAAGTTTGGTGGCTTTTCGGTTGCATGACATACAACCGAAACCGAGGCACCGGGCTATGAACCGACATCACTTTCATTGTGGAACAGACAAGGGTGTTAATAATCTAGTCGAACCATTTTGAACGTACTTTTATCTGTGTGAGCCCTTTGTATTTGTGATAAGAGTATGAACCATTTCGTCAAAATCTAACGAAGAGCGAAGTGCTGCTATAATATTGTAGGAAAGGCTGTAGTATGTACGTACGTACCGTACAACCCTGTTATTGAATATTTATAGTTTCATTACTAAGCACAAGAAGACTCAAGAGAGCCAAAGAATGTAATTTTTGATGAACGATATATCCATTGGCCGTTCGTTCTGCAGACCTTGAAGGCAGGAAGTTACATTTGTGAGGAACGCAGATCCACCTCCAGAAACTGGTTCAGTGTGCTTTACGTTTTTGTTTCGCCCATCCTTTTTCATGTTTCTTTCACCCATCCCTGCAACTCTCCACTAAGTCGTGCAACGTAACGCTCCAGCCCACTCAGAAGCTTCAGTTTTCACGCAACTTCACAAACTGGTCTATGATGTTTTGCTATAGAAAATGAAACTGTCCTTTCCATGACCTAATCTTGAGCGGCCATCTAATTGTAGCATTCTATCTGTTTATAAATGCTAAACCATCAGTATGACAGTCACATATTTAGACCTGTTTGTTTCTGGAATGTAATTTGCCACCTCCTCTACCGTGTATCTGATGTTACTACAAAATAATTTAGCCCTTTCATTTTTTTTTTTTTTTACATTTCTGTCTTTAGTGTTTGTTTCTTGACACACCAGCCTGGCTTCCTCAAGATCTCCCTTTATATATGTTGTTCCATGCGGCCTGTCAGTGATGTATTGTGCCATTTTGCTTATGAAGTGACCAAGGATATGCAATTGCAACACATTAGACATCTTGTAATGTGTCATAAGTCAGCTGGCATTGTGCCAGTTCAAATTTTTTTTAAACGACCATGCGCACCGGTATGGTACAACTTGTTCATCAGTGCCATGAGACAGCAGACGATTATGATGCAGTGTCCATTCTACTGAATTGAATCTAAAGGTTAAGCAAGGCTCTATAGTGCTGATTGAAAAAAAGAAAAAAAAATTAATTCACCAATTTTTGCTTTTTTTTTGTTTGTTTTTTGTTGCAGCAGTGATAACGGTGATTGCTTAAGCTGCTGAGCTCCTCCAGACACCAAGGCAGACCGAAAATCATTCACACCTCGTGTGGCTCGTTCTTCAAAGATGGTGTGGAACGAGTTTTGCATGTTCCGCTGTTCTATTGGTTGGTTCCTTTTGGTCCTGTACTCTAGCCTTAAAATAGGTACTTGGCTTCAAAATAGGTACTTGGCTTCAAAGAGTGTTCACATTGCTTTCAGCATACCTCTAATTTCTAAATGCTATCTGCTCAGATTTTTTTTTTTTTTTTAGTTATTGAAGTGAAATAATATAGACCAGTCTTTTTTCTACACCGTTATCAAACTATTCCTTGGTGTATTTATTTGTTGAAACCTCTTCCTGATCTTTTAAGAAAACAATGATGCACTGCTTCATATCCATAATTTCAAGCACTTGCACTGGTCAAAGCATTGTAACATCAATGGCCAAGTGTGTTAATTCACTTGGCTTGGAGCATGTGAGGTAAAGCTGGTGCTGCAGAACTCGGAAATCCTGCAGGTTCAATTGCCTCTGCCCATTTCTACCTGGAGGAGCACTATACCAGCATGTTTCAAGACATTGCAGTGGCCATATTACTTTTGAACTAATCAAACGGGGAGGGGGGGTTGGTTCCCTTGTCTGGATTTGACTAGAGCAATTGCTGGGCTGCCACAGCACCTTCTACGACTATGTGTTTCAAAAAGGAATTCTGGAAGTACATTTGAAAATCTCGTGAGCAGCCACGGTTTTCTGGAGCTGCATGCCTTTGTGAGATCACATACGCCTGCTAGCAAAATCCTCTACTGGCCTTGTGTACCACAGTTGATGGTGTGGACAAGGGACCACGTGGCACTTCTATCAGGTTCATACATAGGGTTCTTCGTTTTCGGGTAAAACCCAATATTACCCCATTTTTGCACCCCGAACAGTTTTTATGAAAATTGGGGTGAACCCGATCTCACCCAGCTTACTACTCTTCTACCCGATTTCTCCCTGAATAGTGGTCTTGAAATCGGCTGACTTTATGGAAGAACAATTCTGGATCTGTTTCAAAACTGCTTCCTCGGTCACTCGTTTGGTGGTAACAAACTCCTTTGATTTGTGTTACCTCTGCATAAATTGCTTCAGAACAAGTCAGAAGGCGGAAATGTACTGTAAGATCGAGCACCATTGCTAAATCATGTACTTTGTTGACTTTTGTTTGCGTGAATAACAGATTTCAGGTACTTGCCCTTCATAAATTGGACTCGAGAAAACCCAATTTCCTAATGGCTTCAGAAAGACCCGATTTCTCCACGATTATCAGCCTGAAAAATAGCGCCCGATTTTTACCCCCCGATTTTTGAAAAATATAAAACCTGAAAACGAAGTACCCTATTCATACAGCATGTTGAGGGCAGGCGTCCACACTAATATATCGGGTGTCTCAAACAGCGGCCAGGCCTTTTAAATCGACCGCAAAATTCGGTTTCTTAACTCTATCGTGCTACGATTCTGTGCAGTGTTGCCCACAGGTAATGCATTTTTTCTATAAAATTTGCAAAGAGTGAACTTACCTGAGGAAAAAGTGAAGAATGCAAAAGGCTTAACTCCCATGGAAACCCAGCGAAGCCACCGGTCTTCAATCAATAGGGCGCCCTATTGTTTGAAGGCCGGTGACTTCGCTGCGTTTCCGCAGGAGTTAAGCCCTTTTCTTTCTTTACTTTTTCTTCGGGTAAGTTTGCTCTTTGCAAATTTTATAGAAAAAAATGTACCACCTGAGAGCAACGCTGCACAAAATTGTAGCGCGATAGGTTAAGAAACCGAATTTTGCAGTTCATTTAAAGAGCTTGGCCGCTGCTTGAGACACCCAGTAGAACACAGAGAAGGCTAGCAGTGTGACAGCATGCGAGAATCTTTGCAGTGTGCATAACGATCGAATCTACTAGTTGCTTTTGCTAGAGGCACCGCAATGCCGCACGCAATGGATTGTGGGGACGTCCTGTATGATCCTCGCCACTGCAGCATCTGCCATATCTACATGACATTAAAGGGAGAGGATAGTGCAGTTGCTCGCCCGTCTGCATGCATGTCCTCCATTGTCTGCTGCAGCCGGTTCTGTACAGTATATTCCCAGCAAACTCTTCAATACTGCAAAAAACGCTGCTTTCCTTTTCTTTCTCTCTCTCTCTCTCTTTGACGGGACGCAGTGAAAAATCGCCTAAAATGAATGCATGCAAATATGCGGTCAGAAATAATAACACCACTGGAAAACGCTAAACCCGTTCTTTTTATTTTTTTGTGTGGTTTATTTATTTACATTAGTTACGCGTGGAAAACTTTTTTTTTTTTACATGCAAATTTGAAATTATTGCAGCCATAATCATGTTAATCATTCATTACAACTAAACTTCAAAATGGAGGTTGGCGCGCTGATGCATGGTTATTTGTAAAGTTTAAAATATACGTTAACAATCTGGGTTTTAGTGTAATGCCCGACCTTCAACGCGATTTGTAAACGGACGGCCGCGTTTGATTAGCTTATCAGCCACCACAGACTGCTCGGCCACCAACGGTTCTCGGTTCTCTCTGCAGCTACTACCCACGTGATCTAGGCGCTCGCCCTCAGTGTTGCCAATTTAGCGGTTTTCCCGCTAAACTTAGCGGTTTTTGGTTCTGTTTGGCGGGATAAATTATTGTTTTGCGGGCGGCGGGATTTTTAGCCGGTTTTATGTAACCTTGGCGGTTTTTTAGCGATATAGAAGTTATATCGATTTACTGTCAACTATGCACCTTTAATATCCATAATGATAAGGATAATAAGCCACAGTCGTCTTCGCTTACTCTCAGTAATGTTCTGGTTTGTGAGAGTAACGCCTGTGACGTCATCAAAACATTAAGTCGAGTACGCTCAAAAGTTTAGAAAGGACTAGAGGTTCCTGGTGATAGCAGACGAGCCAGGTGCCGCTATTTCGAAACAGAACTATCTGCGAAGAGTGTGGATTTGGTCGCGCACGCTGCAACGAAGAAGCATGTTTCGGCCGCTGCACCTTTCTCCTCTGGTAGCAAACGACTCTACGAGTTGAACGGGTCTTACCGCTCATTCACACTGGAAGCGGATCCGCGTTCGCAAAGCGGTTGCGAGCGCGGTTGTATAAAGATCGAGTACAATTGCACGCGCACTCGATGACATCAAGTACGCGTGCAATTCCACTGGATCTTCATACAACCGCGTCCGCAACCGCTTTGCGAACGCGGATCCGCTTCCAGTGTGAATGAGCGGTTACTATAATAGTCACGCATTGCTGAAGGGTCCCTTGCCATGTTCATATGCGTTCACTCTGCAATTTTGGCTTCGTATCGTGACCTGGGTAGAGATCAGTGACCTGTGTGAACTGTGGCGTGGCGAGACAGATTTCTAGTCAAAACAAAAGGAAAGCTTCCTTTCAGATGGCATTGATATGATCTTTACTGTTATTATACCTCTGTCAAGAATTAAAGCAAAAAAAAAAAAAAAGTATAAAGAATCGTTTTGCGCTGTGTTTTGAATTTAGCGGTTTTTTAGTGGTTTTCGGGATTCCGACTGCGGGTTTTCAATTTTTGAGTTGGCAACACTGCTCGCCCTGCTCGCCCCGGCTGGACCCGGTTCGATCGCTAGACTTTGTCTACTTTTTCGTATCCCTTTCGATACTGCCGATTTACAGCAGCACTGACGGTGCCGTGCAGGGCAACAGCACCACACCGACGGACACGAAGTCTGCGATCTTGTCGGAACGACGCTCGTGTAGCAACAAGATAAGCATTCCAATCTGCTGTTCGATCGAACCGAGCACAGCACCGGATCAGAGGCTTGAACCCTGCTTTGCACCTCGCGCGGAGCCCGGTGGCACCGCAGCCATCATGCCAAAGAAGGTAAGTGTCTATAATTAGTCGTAAACAGCGTGAGGGCTCTGCTTGGAATGAGTTTGTCGTCGACTCTCGGCTCGCAGTTTTGACGCCCATGACTCTGCTGGGCCGCGACAACAGCTGTATCATGAGGGGGCTCCACCAGATCTTGGTCGAGGTGAAGCCAGAGCTCAAGCCCCTGCCCGGAGTCGCCCTGTTGTCCAAGAGCCACGGGAGGAAAACCCCGCCTACGGATCGCTACTCGTACGGCATTGACTGCGACGAGGTCTACCCGAGTATATTTGTCGGCGATGAGTAAGTGCGAGTTATCGAACGTCAACACGCGCGGGTCACGCAGCGTCTTGATTCTCCCTTTGTTACGTGTTTGGTCTCCCGCCTGATAGGTATCATATTATTCGCGTTTCGTCGACAACTTTGTTGCTACTCAATATTTTATTTTTATTTTTTTTTTTTTGTCAGGTTTTGCTTATAAGTTATAACCCATAGTTAATGTCACAATTAGTAGTCGAGACGTGTTGCGTTTGCCCCCTTCCCGAGTTCTGGTGCATTCTTGCTATTTTCATTATTTTGCGCATTGAATGCTACCGGTAAATTTAGTTCGATTAAATTCAGAAATACACCAGTCATCTACAGTATGTCTGAAAAGAAAACTTACAATGTCATAGTTAAACATATAAAATAGCGCAAAAAAGACAAGGACAAGAAGTATACAGGACAGGCGCTAAGGCAAGGACAAGAAGTATACAAAACAGGCGCTACTTGTCCTTGTCTTTTTTGTGCTATTTTATATGTTTTACTAAGATGAACCAACTAGCCCAACAACATACCCTAAACTATATTACAATGTAATGTGTGAAGCATAAAATTCCTCTCGAGCATACCAGTCTTGTGGTACTTTTCAAATATCAGTCCACTTTGTGCCACAAACATGGGCGTACCAACCGGGGGGGGGGGGGGGGGGGGGGGGGGGAAGCAAGGGGGGGCACTTGCCCCCCCCCCCCCCCCCCAGTTCTCAGAGTGGGGGGGGGAAGGCATGTGTTTTGCCCCCCCCCCCCCCCCCCCCCCCCCCCCCTGAAACAGCCGCCACTGGGCAGGCAAATACTGTCCGTCGGCACCCAAGAGATACCACAAGCACCACCCCCCAACCCGGGGGGGGGGGGGGGGGGGGGGGGGGTCTGGTTTGCCCCCCCCCACTCAAAGACAAGTTGGTACGCCACTGGCGACAAAGCAAATATAAAGAACTGACTGTTTCTATTAGGGCGATAACCAACATCAGTGGTCTCTTTACTCCTAGACAAATTCCCAATATTCCTATCAATACATTTGTCGTGGGCCTTATCGAATGTCTAAACATGTCCTCCCATTGACGAGAGTGGCCAATGTTCAGTGTGCCCATATTGACCGTTGTCCTACTGTTGGATAAGTATTGTTTATTATAACAATCTTGACAATATGGGGAACACTTAATGATAGATGGCGACATTTATTAGACAACATATGTTTGGAATCCATGATGATAGGTGGCGATACCTACCTGCCTCACATAGCCCCTAGAGAAAAAAAGTGAGAGACGTCTAAATAGTTACACGAAAAATAACACAGTACACCTTCACACTACCACAGGAAATGTCAGTCTCTCCTATGTGACACAGAGGGAGTCTATGTTTTAAATTTTAGTATTACTGTTACATCAGCAAAATGTCATTACGGAGCAATTTCAGCTTGTTAATGGCTAAAGGCATCTAGCATTGAGGTCTACCCACTATCCTTTCAATCAAAGCCAATCAGAGCTTGGCGTCGTTCCGACGTCACAGCAACCCCTGCACAAGTGGACGAGGGTTTGTCAGCCGAATGTCATTTCATCGAAGCACCTTTTAGAGAACAGGCACGTTTTATTGAAGCTCGGTTTAGAGAAAGCAGAGCCTCTGTTTAGAGAAACGCTGTTTATCGAAAAGGGGACGCTATTTAAAAAAGGCTTTCCTACTTTGCACGTGTATCACTGGTGCGCATGTTAACCCAGGCCCCTTGCTGCGTCTGCAGCGGGGGGCCTGGGTTAACACGGCAGTCTGCAGCGGCTATTACAAAAATGTGACCTCGCCCGACTTATCCATACACGCCGCTTCGCGGCGGCCGAATTGGCTAAAAGGAGGCTCATCGCCATTTTCTCTAAACTGGGTTTCTCTATAAAGGGATTCGATAAACTGTGGTCAGTAAAACGGTGTTCGCTAAAATGAGCTTCTCTAAACCCCAAGCCTCCGGTGCAAGAAGCAGACAAACTTGCGCTCCGCATAAGGCCCGTGATGGCGCAGCTAGCAGACAACATAGTGTGTCGTCTGCTCGCTGCGCCTGTCGGGAGATGGCGCTACAAGTTACATTCATTGCTGGCTTGGTTGTCTGCAAACACGTCTGCCATGTGGGTTTACTACGGTTAATTGAATGCCATTTCGTCAAAGCACGGTTTAGAGAATGGGCACGTTTTATCGAAGCACGGTTTAGAGAAAGCAGAGCCTCAGTTTAAAGCAACACCGTTTATCGAAAAGGGGACACTATTTAAAAAAGGCTTTCCATCTTCGCGCGTGTATCACTGGTGCGCGTGTTAACCCAGGCCCCCCGCTGTGCTCCCGCCGCATCGCGGTGGCAGTCTGCGGCGGCTCATTACAAAAAAATTTACCGCATCTCCACGTGGTGAATGATGTTGATAGGGCGAAGCTCTGGTGGTGCTTGTCTGCGTAGACGCTGAGCTGCAGCATGCCGAGCCTTTCGTTCGTTTTCATCCATGTCAGAAAGAGAATGTGTGGTATGGAACGTGGCTATATACACATTTGAGCTTTTGACAGCAGCACCCTCTCGTCTATAAACGTTGAGCCAGTGCATGCAAAGTTTAACGCGATTATATACGCATTTGACCGCAGCGCCCTCTCCTGTATAGACGTTGAGCGGCTACATGCAACGTTTCATCCATGACATCCCCAGCTCTTGAGTTACTACCACATCTCAGAGCCCCCTGCTCGTCCCGCAGTCGTGGCCGAGTGGTTAAGGCAATGGACTAGAAATCCATTGGGGTCTCCCCGCACAGGTTCGAATCCTGTCGACTCCGCAAACATTTTTTTTTATCATTTTTTTTTTTTTTTTTTTTTGTTCTACATCAGCACGTGAGCTCACAAGCACCAGCAAGATCGATGTGAGCACGGACGCCGGACGGACAAGGCTAGACCCTAAGGAGCTTCGCCCCTAAAACATTACTCACCTTCGTGAGTAATGCGGCTCTTAATAGAATCTTGGCATATACAAAATACAAGCAACAACCTGAACCGATCCACCGGAACGCTTCCAAGCAGCTATATACACGGGCTAAACTGCACCACACACAGAAACAGAAGAAGAATACAAAGCTAAGAGAGAAGAGAAGAAAACGACGACAGGTTGCTACCTTTGGGCCCATATACAGTCACCCGTGAACGAGGAGCCGAGCTGGCTTCGAAACATCGGGCACATTGAAGAAATTGGTTAGAGTCTACGTTGTACTTTTTCTTGAGGCTAGTGATGAGCAAGATAATTGCGATAATTAATACGTTTAACAAAATATATAAATAATGACCACCTGGGAGCAAGCTCACAAACCAGTGTGCATTCGACGAACATCCGGTATAAGGCATAGGAAATGCATGGCCACCGTTCTTGTTCTATTTTGTAATATTTTACCACCTCTGACTTGAGCTCTGGAAAAAATAGACATAAAACTTCTTGAGAAACTGTGTTCGCGTGTTGTGAACGTCCCATCACGACGAAGACAAATATTGGCAGTGGCACTTTACAATTTGTTTGCCTGGCACCCCAAAATGTCACATCCAGCACTGCACTTGCAGTGGCAACTTTCTGTCTTTTAAAGAGCTGGAACAAGAAATTTTGTATTACAAGTCTATGTCCGACATTGCTTGGTCATCCAAAATTGACATCCTTTGGATCGTGAGGAAAAGTCGTATCTGGATGGGCCTATATAGTTATAAGTTATTTTGTTGCAACTTTGTTTTAAGAATTGGGCAGCTCTATCCGGACCCGGCAAAGGAAATAATGTGCAGTAACCTGAAACATGCGGAGACAGTAAGATCACATCGTCTTTAAACCAATGCCAGTCAGTCGAACATAAGGAATGCTTGCCTTTCTTCAGGCTGGTGAAGCACAATGAGCAATTGACGCTTTCCAAAATTCCATCAAGCAGCTTGCTCATGAAGCACGTGATTGGATCCGAGTCCTCGCCGAACGCTGACCCAGTGCTTGTTTTCAATACGAGTCAAGCCGAGTTAACACCGATGCAGGCTTCGTGTCCAATACGTGGCTTGCACATGACGTCGTTTCCGATGCCCTCCAGAAAAAAGGGGAAGAAGGAGCTCCCCTCTTATCAGGATCCTCCTTTGTGCCTCCCGGATAAGCACAGACATCGCTGTTCTCCTCCCAGAAGATTATAGAAGATTAACCTGTCACTCAAAATTCTTACAAAAGCAGCTTCCCTCTCCTCCTTTTACATAGTGTTCAAAAGTATGCGATGTGTTGTCAGTGCCAGGAGCCTATGCATGCTCGTAGTATGTGAGAAAGCAATGGTGGACGGGTGTTGGCGTGGACTTTTGAGAAGGGTCTATTGTCCTCTAATTTTAGTGGGTGTAATAATATAGCTCTTGTTCACCGTCATTTCCGTGCTCCGACTGCAGGGGTGCAGCAAAGAACAAGGATTACCTGCGTGGTCTGGGGGTGACGCACGTCATCAACACAGCGGAAGGGCAGAAGTTTGGCCAGGTGGACACTGGACAGGCCTTCTATGCTAGTCACGGCATACACTACCTGGGCCTCAAGCTCATCGACATACCTCAAGAAGACATCTCTGCGCATTTTGACAAGGCTGCAGAGTTCATAGACGACTGCCTTCAGCAGGGAGGTAAAGTTGGTGTTTCTTATCTTTGAGAACTTGGAGCCACTTAACCTTTCATGGCCCTGGCATTGAACATTCGGTGTTGGAAAACAGTTATCCACTGAAGCACCATTGTGCTGGCCTGGCTCTCGAGGTTGTTCCTACTAGCGCCAAAACAAAAGTCATAACGGTGCATGTAATGACATAGACCGTGGGTTCTCGAACTGGGTTCCCAGGAACACAGTTCGTTCCCCGAGCTCCTTGGCTGTCCCTACCCCCAAAAAAAGGCTGCTTTAAATTGAAGCACCGTTATAGAAGATTGGATGTGCATTAGTGTGCAGATTTGATGTGCATTGCATTGAATCAGTGCTGGCACTGGGGTGGGTTCCTTAGCTGTCGATAAAGGGAGACGGGCGTCCCTTCTAATAGAAAAGTTTGGGAATCCACGATGTAGACCAGGGGTCGGCAACCTTTCTCAGCGGCAGGCCGAGTTTTCACGAGGCCGACACGGAGGGGGCCAGATGGCAAGTCACGAGCATGGGGGAGGGGGTGGGGCTGAAGAAAAGGCAAGAAGGAAGTGAAGACGTTCTCTGCCCAAGTATGGGGATGACAGACAATGCCATTTAGAAGCGCTCCTTGTTCCTGTCAGACTCTATTTAAGGTCGAAACTGCCGTGTGATCCTCGAGTCTGTACGAGAAAGCGGCAGGGGCGGCTTTTCTGGTGTCGTGCCGGGGGCCGCATAAAACTGCCTCGTGGGTTGCCGACCCCCAATGTAGACCAAAGACGGCAGGGCACAAAACATTGGCAAGCCGTGCTTTTTTTTTTTTTCGCACTAGCATTTTTCTTTTGATTTTCTGAAAATATTTTTTCAGAGGGTCCTACGAAAACAGAACATGTGCAGTCTCCTATTGCACAAAAAGGTTGGGAGCAAAAAGGCAAATGTACCAAAGAGAAACCTGGCTTTTACTTAACTGATTTGCCTACAAAGTTTTCACAGAACTAGATATTCTGATCAAGGGTCAACAACAAAAACAATCAATTCTAAAAAAAAAAAAAAAAAAAAAAAATCCATAGCTGTTGTGTTTAAAACGAACTGAGCAAAAACCTTACCAAAGACAGTTTAACCAGAAGTCGGCCAAGATTTCTGCTGTGCTTCTAGCAAGCTGGCCCAAATGTCCAACATTTCTTTCTTTAAAAAATGGGAAGAGAACTTCTATCTACAATTACTAGTACAACCACGTTTACTTCCATGTTCTTGTGCAAATATTGTTAGCCAATTATAGCTTTTGCTATAATTGGCCATTAATTAATTGGCAAATGACCAATACCCAAGTTTTTTCTTGAAGAAACAAATAGCATAAAATTATGCTTATTTTCTCTACAAAAAATCACTGGAAATCTGCACTTCATTTAAAACTGAGGGATGTTGCATTTACTGAGGTCGATCCAAGGACCAAGGCAATAGGCAATACTAAATTGAATGCTTCCTCACTGAAATATTATGCGTTTGCTCAATGCTAAATTTGCCACAACTAGCCAACAGTGGTGATGTGTGTGCAAGTTGGAAATAGTTGCGCAGTTGTAGGTCTTCTTGTAGGTCTTCTGTACCAATCATGTCTTGCGTGGGTTTGTTCTCCCAGGGAAGGTGCTGGTACACTGCCGGATGGGCATGTCACGGTCAGCCACCATCGCCATTGCCTACCTGATGATCAAGAAAGGGATGACAGTCGACGACGGACTGCGCACTCTGCGGATGAACCGCGCAGTCCGCCCAAACAACGGCTTCCTCCTTCAGCTTGTTCAGCTTGATACGAAGCTACGCAGTTGAGGCGTTGTACACACCGGCTGCAACAAGTATGTGCCCGGCAGGCGGGTTCGTTTGAAGCAAACTCAACGACACAGGTCCCTAAATGGCACTCCTGAGCAATTGTCAGTAATGTGTACTGTGTCCTTTGTCAAATTATCTACAGACATACTTTTTTTGTGATAACAATACCAGTGAGAAAATTAAAATCCAGATGGCATGCTGAAAGTGCATGCTATCTGGCTTTGCCAGTAGATTTGGCATGGTGCCAGCTAAATTACCACTAATTTAGCTAGCAGTTTCAGTGCAATGCTAGAAATTTATTGTGTAAATTTCTAGCGTTGTATTGAAACACCTTTTGGTGTTGCAGAAATTTACATTGTAAATTTCTAGAACCTGCCCTGTGAGCTTTGTAAATCCTCATAGGTGGAAGAAAAAAAAAAATATTTATGTTGGTGTGTCATCTAGTCTCAATGCTGCAACTATCTGTCAAAGCCGTAAAATGATGACTGTCTATGCTCGAAGGCAAAAACAAGGTACATAACCGATTTGCAGGATGGTAAATTTTTGGAGCAGGGTCACGGGACTCTAAACCAATTGTACTAATTCTGGACAATGTTCCCTTACACACTGTCTAGCAGAGTACATTTATTCTTGGACTAGGGGTGTCCCTGAGACAGAGTAAGCCACGTTTGATACTCTTGCTATTTAAATGTTTAAGGATGAGTAAGTTTTTTTTGTTTTACATGTGATGCCACCAGTTTTTAGATTTGCTTTTCTACAATATTTAGGAAGGCACTTCCATTAAGAGTACAAAGACTCCTGCTTGTATGGTAAGAGTGGCCTAGCAAGGAACCAATTCTTTCGCAGATTTTACAGGCAGTTTAGATGCAATGCTTTTGCACTTACAAACTATGAAAACAACTGTGATGTTTAGAAATGAAAAAAAAAAAAAAAGTGTTTTAAATGACATGTTTTCAGTGTTGTGTGGAACACTTACACAGAAGTTGTATTTGCTGTGATCTTGAGCACAGGTACACCTTTGCAGCAATAGATGAAATTTTAGTCTTCAGAACCTAAAGCGTGTTCCACACTGCACACCAGTACAAAACCAGTGTCGCCATTGTGTAGTGTGCTTTGCCCAAAGAGTTTTTGGAATGTTGCACACTCCTCGTAAACGCCATGTTGTTTCAACTCTGAATAAAACTTCTAAACTGGTTACCACAGCCTGTTCTTTAGCTGCAATGAAAGTATAACACAAGCCCATTTGAAACATGCATATTATACATTTATTATATAAATCCTTTGTTTTTATACAACACATATTCAAACAAGAGTGGAACAGAAGTGACAGCAAGGTCTCCCTCCCATGATGGAGGTTCAAATTGACGTAACCTCCACATACACGAGGTGTGTGGAATAACCAAACTGGCATAAAATCATTAAGGCACTCTGCTACTTGGAACTTCCTATAGTGAAGTGAGGATGCACTATTGGTGCAACAAATAATTCTGAACTTGACAATTTCCTATCTCGACATTAAAAAAAATCATTCTTGCCTTGTTCCGCAAATACTATTTCCTCTTGGGTACAATAAGTACAACCAGAGCTAAGTTGCAAACATAGCACTGCACTTGGCTAGAGAATTTAATTGGGGCAATTCAGCTGTCGATTCGCTATTGCAAGAATTCTGGGCCACTGCAAGCACATGCTGCGAAATGTTGCAGTATGCACACTTTCTAGAATAAAATAGACCTGTAGTACAGGATAATGTGCACATGCAGTGCCAAAATAGCTTTTCCCATACCAGCAGGTAGTTTAAATGCCCATCTTAGTGTAGCTAACAACAAAGTTTTGTTATAACACTTCAATGGTGACCTTCTTAAATGCCATGTTTATGCCATATGCATAATGTTAACAAGACTTGTACTAGTACATAAAAAGATATGCTGAAAGAAATTTTGTTTTGTCCGACTACTCGTTCTGCTAGAAAATAGCTCGGCAACACGACTGCAGGTTCTGCCCTGAACGCCCACTCCTGCTCACTTCTTATCTGATGTAGCCACTACCATAGTAAATGGCTCGCAAATGACAATTTTCCCATCTCTAACCTACCATTACTATTGCTCCACAGCTTTTGTAATATACTGTAACATAAGAGAAAGGGAATCGGGAAGTGAAGCCATTGCCCCGGGGGAGAAAATGAATTGAGACAAACAGACTGAAAGGCATTCGAGTAGATGTCATGATAGTTGCAGTAGATTGGATTGAAACTATTTCAAACTCTGTGACCTGGTTGAAGACTTGTGCACGAGAGAAATGAAACACCATCGACTGTGTAATTTCAAACATTCATACCAAATTTTCCATCTTTCCCACAAAAGAAAAATTGCTTTATTGTGAAACTTGTTAGTCATTTAAAAGTTAAGTATATATTTAGCTGTAAAACTTTTACCACAAATCTCATGTTTGAATTTGGCGTTTATTTTTTACCACATCCACTTCGCAAGTAGCATTTGTGCAAGTCTTTCTTGATGCTTTTCATTTTCCTTGTTTAGCTAAAACAACATTTTGTCTCACCCTAAAGCAGAGCACAGCAAAGATTGCAAGACAATCCAATGCTAAAATCCTGTCATGCAACTTGCACTCAGTCGCATGAAGTTCCCACAGTGATGTATAGAGTTTGTATCGCCCGCCACAATTCACTTCAGGCTGCGGCGATAGTTTAGCTTTTCCACAGAAAAAACATTGCTGTCATACCAGGCAGCATGTAGATGCATTCTCCCGCAAGATTAAGTCTTTGGAAATTGTAACTAAATACATCAAATGAGAATAAAATGCATATTGATAGGAAAAACTAGTAGGAGTGGTGGCAGCGTAGGAATATTTCAGGCATTGTTTAGATGCAAGTAATTTAGATAATCCTACAAGGACCAGTAAAAGGGTTTTGGAGCCTGTCTTCACTGCTGCATTAATCAAGAGCTAGTTGTTCAAGGACTTAAAAAATTCAGTGGTTTCACATTGTATGGTTTAGAACCAAATTTTAACCACCGCTTTTTCGGGGATTCCTTATGGACCGAAACAAGCGAGGGTAGACTCCATCCATGGCAAGGGGTATGGGATGATGGCAACATCAGGAGACCGGCATGACACAATTTAAGCGAGTTTGAAATGGAGTTTTTTTGTTGTCATATACAAGGAACATCACACAAAAATGTCATATCTCTTATATATGACAACAAAAGGTTTTATTGCTTGGCTTGACCAACAAGTTACAACTTCGTCGACCCTAAGAAAGCCTTCATGGTCTAGAATCTTTAAAATTGAGTCTGAAATATTAACATCCATCTCAAAGAGGGGTTAGATAGTAATCAAATGGAGAAAGGTTGTAGCGCTTGCCACACCTCCCACGGCTGTTAAAAGAAAGCCTAGCAAAAAGAATGGATTACCCGTGGCCAATTTTCTTCAAAACTTCAGATAACTCGCTCCCCGACGCCAAATTCTTGCACTTCAAAGACGTGCTACCCATACTGTCGAGACGGAGGGGCAAAATTGAAATTGTCATTAAACTAGCTTGTCCTCGTTTGTTTATTTAATGAACCTTTTAATGTCCTTAATGGGCTAATGTCATTTTAAACATGAAGTGTTACACATTAATTTGATAAAGCAGCACAATAAAATTATCATAGCACATTGCTGCCTAACAGACAACAGAAAAGGGACTTCTTTCAAATGACACCTGTATGCCATTCTCAAGTTCCATGTCACAGCAACTGCTTTGGAAATCAATTTAAAATTGTGAATATATACCTCTCTCTACTGTCGAGTCCATATATGGAGTGCACTAATCCATTTGAACACAGCCAATAAAATTTACCATCCTTTTGATAGCAACTCAGCTTGAATTTTGTTATGTCACAATGCAATTCTGTTTAAATGGTCATTTAGATAGCCAATGAAGAGATGTACCAAATTAACAAAATTTTATAAATTTGTTGGGCAATGTGCGGTACAGTCGACTGCATCAAAAAGAGATTTTGGTTGTTATTTTTACTTTTCCAGACAAAGCCCACAGATGGTGTCAGCAGTGTAAACCAGTATTTGCAGGACACGTGTGCGCTCAGCAGTGGGCGCAGCATTGTGAACACACGACACAAGTTGCCCTGGAGGTTATTTGCAACATACTGTATGTACCCTATCCCAATAACATTTTGGTTACAAACTTAGACCGTTTTTCAGGATCGATATGTGTGCAGGCTACAGAAAACTTTCCAGAGCCTACTGCGGAGCAGACAACATTCGTGCAGTGCCAATTTGTATGGTGGATCATGGGACTGTTTGTACCACGTGGCACAGTATGTCTTCAACGATGTGGAGCAAATGTCTGCTGCAACCAAAGTTCCGGTTTCAGTTTGTGATCATGCCTAAGGAAAGACTGCACGAAAGATGTGTAGCCTGTCAAGAAACTAATGATGTACACCCGTTTTTTTCAATGAAATCAACCATTATCCCAAAATGTTTCAAATATAGCTAAGTTCCCTTTATGTATCTAATAAATGGTATAACCCTTTCACGAAGAAAGGGTTATACCATCTATGGAGAATAGAAAAAAATGCTCCAAAAGCTTGGCGGATAATCTCAAGGTCAGATGACAGTTTCAATGGAAATAATTAATTATCTTCCTTTGCTAATGTTGAATGTACACAAAATATTAGCTAGTATACACCCACAGACCTTTGAATGTGTGCTGTACAATTTTAGAAGTGAAGTCAACAGATGCAATGTTTATAGATACAATTTGATAAAATCATGCGGGCGAGGTACACATGAGAAACCCAAAAATGCAGTACAGATGACAGCAAAAAAAAAAAAACATTTGTGGAGAGCTGCACAATGACGATGCACTGCATTCGTTATTGAACGCTTTTAATTTTAACGCAGACCCCTATGCAGCATTGTTGGAGGTTCGAGCTGTCAGCTCAGCTCAGGACATTCCTGGGATGCCCGTGTACCTCGAAATAGATGTCTGGCCTAGGATGCGAAGCATCCAAGTTGTAGCTCTTTCTAGAGCTACTGCTCATATGCATGCATTTTTCCAACACACTATCTTATCTTTTAGCAATGAATGGAAATTGTTTCATGTCAAGGCACATACTGAAAAACTGTCCATAAATATAGTGCACCCCCTGGCCCGGCTACTCAATTTGGGGTCATGCAAAGTTTATATTCAGGGTGCTAGAAGTCTGAAGTTGAGAAAAAAAACAAAAAAACTCCGAGAATAGAAGCCTCTGAGTGATGCATACTTTTATAGAAATTCATGCATGTCATAAATGTAAAGTCAAGAAAACAACATAAAAGCACCCAAAGCCGGAACAGCGGCTTTTACCTAAAGCCGGTTCTAGGCTCAGAACGTTCCATATATATATTTATATATATATGTATAGCAGTCAACTAATGTTAACGTAAAATAGTATCTCTCTGTACAGAAGCATATTACAGCTTCAATATGGTACAAAAACATTGGGGTGTAGTTTTCTAACAGGAAATCACACACCCACATACAACACAAGTATGTGGAAATGCGCAACAGGACAACAATCCTATCCTTTGTTAACAACATGAAGTAAGAGTTCTTCCTCCTCGATATCTCACTTTCAACACAGTATTCCCCACCTCGGCTCCCTCCCTCAAAATTCCAGGCGCCATTATGAGAACCGCTCCACTCTTCCAAGAACTCGCAGCTGGACCCAGACGTATCCATTACCCTGGTCTGTTCGGCAGCCAGCCGCACCGAAAGAAGAGTTCCGCCGCAACCAGAGTTGTTCCTCCTCAAAACATTTAACCGCGTGCACACGTGCCTGCCCTCTGGGGGAAAACACTGGCTGGAAACCTTAGATCTCAGTTGGGACACCGGTCGTCGTCAATCAGTGGCCGGGTGTCGTCGCAGCTGACGGCGGCATCCATGGCCATGGCAATAGACACCACTCGTCTGCCCCCTTCATCCGAGTGCACAGAGTCGGCCGACACCTTTCGCCTCGAACTCGCAGCTGGGTTGACGCTCAACACGACGCTGTTCTCAAACTGCGAGGGTGGATGGAGCGCCTCTTCAGACGACCCGGCATCGTGCGAGGTCGACGACGTGGTCGTGGGCGACGGGGGTCGTCTGCGGTGACGTCGCACCCGCCTTGGACGGCGCTGCGAGCTCCTCGTTATGCCGCACATGCCCGTGATGTCCGTCTGGGCTCCTCCACCGTACACTATGACGCTCTCTGGCGGCAGAGGATACCTGCAAACCATTTTCATAATGTCTCCATTCAGCTTCACATTAGTTCATGGCGCATCGAACAAAAAGTGTTGCTATGACAATCGCAGTTATGGAGGAGAGGTCTAGGTGAAGGTCAGCTCCGTACAATTTGCCACGGATTAGTCATTGTGAAGCATTTAATGGAACAATAAAATCAATATATTGATCTACAAGAAAATCTGGAATGTCTCATTTATCTAAAACCGGGCCTCGCGAACATAATCACACCCCTGAATCTTCGCACGTCGCACCCTTTTAACAAAACTTTTGCCATCCTCGCAAAAAATTAAGGGTTTTATACTACGGTGCAATTTCAGCTTCAAATGTGCGGATTGATACTTTTCTGCTTTATTTTGAACCCCCTACACAGAATTGTATACATCTCACTAGCTCAAAAGAGTGAAACGCACCTGTGTTCTCCGACGGCAACAGCATAAGGCGGTGGCGGTTCTCTGAACCAAAAGTCGGCTGCAGCACCATCCGCAAAGTGTGGCGGAGAATCTGAAAGCACTCCTGCTGCCTCCTGTCGCTGCGCTGCCAGTCGTAGCGCATATAAACGACAAGAGCAGCTCACTGCAACCACCACCAGAAGGCCAAAAAACAGCGAGCCAATGATGGCCGCCGTTATCATGCTGTTGTGGAGGCCTGGTGAAAGAAACAGGCACGGATTAGTTGGGGACCACTGGAGACTCAAAAGTGTTGCATGTTCTATTAACGAAAATACAGTTAGTGCACAGGCGAGCTGGTCTCGGGTTAACATCACTACGGCATCTTCAATGTTTTGCAGAGTGCTGCTAAAACAGCAGATTTCGGTCTGTATCCTGGACCCAATAGAGTCAAACGCCTTCATAATGAAGTCTGCGGGACAGGAAAAATTGTTTGTAGTATGGGTAATTTTGTTGTAGTAGTTTAGGGCAAAAAATCAATCATGCGAAACTGAATTTGTGCTATCGCGTATTGATGTACCTGTGCGACATTTGAGACGTCCTAGGAAAAAGCATAGCATCACATATAGTATGAGCGACATCAGAAACAAGGTTTTGTATGTTGACAATTGACTTGTCAAAAGGGGGAACGGTGGCCGAGTCAGCTAGTGCATTGCAGCTCTGAAGCTCACGCTGCAGAATCCAAGCACCTCGGGCTCGATTACCACTTCTTTTTTCCCCTAAATGAAAATCGTACAGGCACGCGCTCGTGTTCTCACCACTGCATGGCGCAACTTAAAGACGCCAAGCTAGCGGTCGTATCGCCACTGGCAAAGTTTGTCATCTACAGCCAAGACACCAGGTGCTCCTTGCTGCAAGCTAATTTTCCACTGTCCAAACATCCACACAACAAACTTAACCGACTAATCAAAATATGAATAGCAGAAATCACAAAACCTCAGACATTGATCCCCGATTGTGCAGCGAATGAGAGGCGTTTGCCGACTGTATAAATTTGTCAGTTTCTGAATAGTTTCATTTGGAGGAGGCTCTCGAAGTGGCTGCGTTGCTCTCATAGGACTCGGGATCTAGTAGGAGTGGGCACAGCAGCACTACCGTAGCAACACAGCAGAATGGGTCACGCTTTCAGGACGCGACAGCTGAAGCGCGCTGCGCAGCGAGGATGGGGAGAGGCGCACATCCAAGCCTCTTGAGCCCTTGTTCACATCTGTCCAGCACAAAGAGGAGCGTGCTTTTCTGTGTGGCTCTACTGATTTCGCTTAGATTTTGGAGTCACGGGTAGAGTCCGAGATCATGTTTCCTCGACTGCATATCATCGCTTCAAGGCAGAACAATTTAGGACTCTGATCGAGCAAGATTGGGAATCTTGGATCCTGATGAAGATTGGTGCGTTAATCAAACAGATGCCAAGACAGCATAAAAAGTTGTGACTGCCCATGAAAACACTTTATATATATATATATATACCATACTCTTGTTCATGCGGTTCCTTTCAAACGCGCTGACATACATGCAAAACAAGGAAATGAGTGCGCGCATTGCCCAAATGAAGCGTGTCAAAAAAAAAAATTAATCTTGGAGCGGAATGGCGCACACTTGATCAACAGCGTGAGCAAAACAAAAGTATGCATACGCGTGCAGAGCGTGTTGCATTTGCCACGGCGCTTTCCCGCTGTATAAATTTCCACACAACAAACTTAATCGACTAATCAAAATTTGTTGGTGTGTAACCTTGTGTCTAGATGACGCGATGTGATTACATTGCTGCATACAAGCTTTTTATGCACCAAAAGTCACATGGCGCAATCCAGACACAAGGCTGCACATAAACAAATTATTTGGGCCCCAAACCGAGAATGTGCGGCAATGGCAGAGGGGCGCAGCAGAGGCGGTGATGCCAGCTGTCGCAGTATTTCTCTTCTCTACGCGCATCAATTGAGAGCAACGATCTACAAAAAATTGATTATTTTTCACCTAGAAAACATGCAACACAGGTCGTTTTTACTTCGTGAGGCCACACAATAGCTCCTTTAAACAAATATTTGTTAAACAAAAATTTGTTGTAGTATTCGGAGAAACACATTGAACACGTAGGAGATTGGTTGGGACTTTACTTTGATAAATGGGCGTTTTCGCAATAGAGGTGTTCGTTATAAAGGCGTTAGACTGCATTACAGTGAAACCCGTTTAGAACGAACCCATGTACAGCTAATTATTGTCGATATCGAACTCACGGAAAATTAAAATAAAAATGCATGTAAAAAGTACTTTTGTTACCGAACAACATATTGGCTATATCAAACTCCCTCCCCCCGGAAGGCTTCCAAAAACGCGCAAACAATTGTCTTCTGGATTGTCCCCCCCCAAAAGTAGGAAAGAAAGAAGACAAAAAAAGCCGCCAACAAAACTGAGCGAAGAGAAGCGATTCAGAAGGAAAGAAAGCTAAAAAAAAAAAACACTGCATGCACGCACAGAAAAAAACAAAGAACTTTTCATCCCAAAGGGGTTGCCCACTAAAGCGCCGTTCACACTCTTGCGACCGAGTATGATGGAGAGAGACCAGACCGGTTTTAAAGCCTTTTGCGACTTCTTAGGACCGGAAGCATTGCAGCGGAGCTTGTCCTAAGAGATCGCAAGAGGCTTAAAAACCGGTCTGGTCTCTCTCGGTCTTACTTGGTCGCAAGAGTGTGAATGGGCCTTAAGAGAAGCGATTCAGAAGGGGAGATAAGCTAAAAGAACAAACTCCACATGCATGCAAAAAAAAAAAAAAATTATTTTTAGCGTTTTGTTTTAGGGTGGAAGTGAAGAGATGAGAAAGAAAGAGAAGCTCTCGCCTTACAACAAATGTATCGTGGAAGTTCGTTGTAAATGGTTTTTCCTATATCGAACTGATCGTAGAGTTTCCTGCTGTTCGCTATATATGGGTTTGACTGTAGAACTCGAGCTTTTTTATGAGACACTAGCAAAATGGGAAATAAAAAAGCAGCACTTGCATCATGACAAAGAAAGGCATTTGAAATGGCATTTCCACACAATTTGAGGTGATGGGGCATTCTAAAAGAGCTTGGTTTACTTTTTTTGTTTATAATACAATTAAAGCAAAGGTGCAACTCTAGATTGCACTGCTGAAATTAGTCTTCTCAACTTTATGAATGATACAGAGATCCATTGTGCTTATCCAAAGGCACTTTGCATGCCTTGCTGGTTCTGCCAATAAGGGCTTGCACTTACGTGTGCAATGAAAGAACAATAGTGTGCAGTCTATGAATTCCCCACTGTGGATGTGGCCTGGCCCTTTGTTAAACAATAAAAGGTAACAAGACAGTGCTTGACAAACACACCTAAACAATGAAAGTCTTTAAAATGCCAGTCTCTGGCCCAACTACCGTATTTGCATGAATATAACGAGTTGTTCTTCAAATTACGTGCTCCAAAACGCACCTCACGTTATATTCGGAATCAAGCTCAGCCACGAGCGTTGGCCACGAAGCGTGAGAGTCTGGTGAAAGCCATCCCTCCGGCTCAATGCAGGAGATCAGGTGGGAAAATAAGTGGGGGTATGGGAGGGAATTTATTAACTATTGGGCCATGCGAAGGGGGGAATAGAAAACATAAAAAGCATTTTTATCGCTTTTGTGTTTGTAAAACGCACGCTTGCTGCAGAAATGCAGCCCGCCAAGCGGGAATGCGGGCACTGGCATATTCAAGCCAAGTCAAGCCAGGCCAAGTCAAGTGAACACAAGCCAAGGCCACCGACCCTGGTTATCGTGCAACACAAAGGGCTTGCTTATGCGGAAGGACCAGAACAAGAATGAGTGTGATCCTGTATCGTGTATCAGGTCCAGCAGTCTTTTTTCTGCCTGCGCATTTTTTAGTTCCTGTTCCAGAGTGGTCTGGTGTTTGTGTGCTGGAGCTTCTGCTTGGCACCACTTTGCTTGTGGGCTGCCGAGGAGCTTGAGGAGCTCACGCCGAAGAAAAAGGAATTACCAGACAAGCGGCGCCGTGCTGCTGCATATCTGCAAAGTTGGCACGTGGATTGCAAACGGAAGGACTTGAGCAGTGAGGATGAGTGCAGTCAAAACAGAAACTGGTATTTCTTTGATTTCCATTGCCATTACACTTCTGCTACGCTCTCAAGTACGGTAAATTTAAGCGGCCTTGGCTCGCATTACAATTGTTTGTTTTTTTCTTTTTTAAGGCATCAAATCCTGTTTAAGGCATCAAAACCTGTCCTCGCATTATATTTGTGCAAATATGGTAGGTTTCTACTCACCACACTGGCACACCAAGGCTCTCTGCCACTGAAATGCACACCGGTGTCACACTACACCAGGACTAAGCAGTATTGCGATACAAATGTATCGCTATCAGTGATGTGATTGCCCTAAGCCATTTTGGAGCACCTTTCGGAGCAGCCAAAACAGTGTTTTGGAGCAGCAAATGTGGCCTTTGGAGCAGATATTCTTAGAAAAATAAAAATATTCGTTTCAAGTGCTGGACAAACGAAGGGCACTTTGCTCGCCGCAGTAAACATATTATAGTCAAGTTAGACCACCTGGGAGTCTTTCAACATGTAACTGAAATGGCAATCACATGAAACATATTTTAATGCTTCAGTAAAATGATACATATATATGTACCTGCTATAGGTATATAAATAAGAACCAAACTGCATCTATTAAAATTTCTTTTAAAGTGACGAGCTTAGTAGTAAATATCACAGCATTAGGTTGACTAGTTATATAATAAATAGAAGCAGTCTCTAACTGTTGATCCATGTGACCACTGCACTGCGATGCAAAACTGTCACGCGAGTGCAGATAGCTGTTCAATCGAAACCATGCCACTCCGCTCCGTCGCCAACTGGTTGCTAAAATTGTACACAAAATGTAACTGTCCAGCATACGACAAAAAAACAACCCAGCCGCACGTGCTTGCCAGAGCGGCTGGCGAGGTATAAGCTAAACACAAAAAAAGAACCTGAGCACATCGATGCAAGACATCACGAGCCAGGGTCAGAAAGTTCCTGGAGCGCTTTGCGCAACAACTGAACTCGAGACAAACAAGCGCGCTGTGCGAGTTCAGGGTAACAGACATTGTCTTCTTTGCTTTAGCTCACTTCTCTTCACCAACTCTCTCGCGGCAGATTTTTCACGTACCGGGGTCCCCCTCGAAAGAAAGCTTACCGAGAGAAACCCAGGCAAACAGTACTTCGACACAGCAGTCTTTGATCTAGAGGGATTTTTGTAGTAGCGTAATAAACAAGAATAGGAAGGTTGATGAAGGTTAGGGCGGTCCTTACGTTTCAGTTTAGAAAGCGCCATATCTGCAGCGACGTGGCGACGGCAACACTCGACGTCGCGCGACCACGGCGACTGGAAGGCAGATACCAAATGTAGTGTTCCCACGGCCATTGCTTTCAGGAGCAAGTGCTTCAGCTCACAAAGTAACTCCCGCCGCGCAAAAACGTGGTTTCGTTTCACAGCATGATGACATGGCTGGTACCCAGCACGCTAGTGTCGGAGCGTCCGCAGACACCCGCGTCTGTTGTTGAAAAAGTTTTGAAAAGACGCGAGACAACGAGAGGACGAGAGCGTGAAACGAGAGACGGCGGGACAAACCATGCAAGACCGGATGAACGATTGATGCAGAGTACTTTGTGTCGGGTGCCTGCTTGTGCCACCTAGCTTACGTGTGCTCATTACAGTACTGAGCTTAGATTCGGTTTTGAAAGGCGAGCAAAATTGGTTCTTTGGCACAGGCTTGGCGCAGATTACCTATATTTTGGCAAAATGTAGCAGGATGTAGCAGGGTTAGCCCCTTGGCGCAGTTTGGCGCAATTGGCGCAGCAATCACATCACTGCGCTATACTACTTTAGAGATACTTTTGAGTATCTGTATCTCTGTATCGAAATACATTTAAAAAATGTATTTGTATCTCAGTAGGGGAATACATTTGCTATGTATCGGTTGTAACGCGATACTCGGCCATGCAAGGGTATCTCGTCACATTCGGGGGTGGGATGGTTGGCAGCGTTTTGAAGACGTCACCAAAAGATCGATGAGATGAAAAGGGCCCAAACAATAAACCCTATTTTCCCAAACAATAAACCCTATTTTTCGGAGAATGTCAACCTCGCCTTTGCTGTCCGCTTTATTTTACAACAGACAGCGGTTTAATGTCCTGACGACAATCGTTAGGTTTCCTTCATAGAGAGGATGCTGTGAGACTTCTAGGGTTCACTCCTTTTGTCAAACGATCGTCCTTCTTTGTCCTCTATGGGGTTCACTGGGGAACATAATGGCTTCTTATCCGTATCAGGAAAAGCAACTATGGAGGAAGAGGAGTTCGAGACGAAAAGAAAGAGGAGGTATCGCCTCATCATCTTCAAAATGGAAAATGATGAGGCGATACTCGCCACCTGTTCGCACCCCTTCTTCAAACTGCGATGGACATCCAGCGAAGTGGCTAACACTTTCGACTTTGAAAGCTTGCTCAGATGCGCCGCCAAGACTCACGGACCAGACCCAAAGGACCCAAGCGACGAGGCGTCTTCATCAACGATGAATCACGGGTTCTGCGACTTTGAAGATGGCAACTCTTCGGTTTCGGCACGGTCTGAACAGACTCATGTGAGAGGCGAGGTCTTCCGCTATCTTAATTATCCAAAAAAAGATGTCTCCATGCTCCGAAAATTCCCAGCCATGAAGGCGGTGTATTTATTTGTTTTAATACAAATTTATGCTCTTCTGCAGCAGTGGAGAGACTTTTCTCGTTCGCGAGTCTTGTACTAAATCCGAACCGTCGCTGTCTTGACGACGAACTGTTTGAGAAGCTTCGCCTACTCAAGTGCAATTAATTACATTTTTCCCTGTTAGCGAGAACCTTTCATGAATAAAAAGAGGTTTTTTTCGCTTGAAAATTCAGGTTTGCTTGTTTCTTGTGCCACATTTCGGACTCACGTGTTATGGGTCATTGCGTAGCTTATAGTGCATTCTTAAATATTTTTACGGAGCATGACGTCATTCAAGGAATAAAAGTATTTCAATATTTGTATTCTCGGATACATTTTTCCTGTTTTTACAGAGTATCTCCGAATATCCCCATACAGCAAAAAGGAATATATCACAGTATTTCTATTCCAGAATACTTTGTTAATATATCTCAGTATTTCTATCCCAGAATACTTTTCTTAGTATCTCTGGCCAGGCCTGCACTACACCCATATCTTGACTATATCAAGCAGGTCATTGGGTACTAGGTGGGAAAACATACTTTTTCCAACTGGCATGCGCCACTGTTAAAAATGCAAAGTAGCCTATGGCGTCAGCAGAAGTGCACTCGGGCAACCGTGTTTCCCAGCTTGCCGATCCCCAGGGCTAAGCACTTCCAAGCAAGCAAACTAACACAGCAACTCTAGACGAGAGATGATTGATCCAGCAAGCAGGGCAGAGGAAGCGAAAAGGCTCTTACATCCATACTCGTCGCTGCCATCGGGACAGTCGGAGACCCGGTCACAGACAGAGTCCTCCGGAACGCACCTTCCATCTCCACACAGGTAGGCACCCCGTTCCGAGCGGCACTTGTCGGGTCCTGGATTGGCCACTAGTTGCTCAGAACCCACATTTGGCAGCAACAATGCTCCTGTGCTAGTTCCCCTGCTAGCCTACATCAAAGGGCCAACCTCGAACAATCAAACTTCCATAGCAAGTTTGGGTAACTGGTAGTAGAATATGTTTCTAAATGCCGACGAGCAGTGGGAAAAGAGGAAACTTTCCCTCAAACCCTTTCCATTCAAGAAAGAGAGACCCTCCTTTCTGTGGGGAGTAGCTCAGAGATCTACTCCTGTAGGGAGAGGAAGAGAGAAGAGTAAAAGGGGGAATCGAAAGAAGGAAACCGGGGCACGGCAAAAGATTAATCTGTAGGTCGGACTTCAAGAAAGGAAAACCAAGATAGCTTGACTAGTCATCTTAGTCGAGTTATCTCGGTTGTCCTTTCCTGGTAAGCCATTGGTTTGGAACAACCCAGAGCTTTTAATAGCGCACAAGCTCCTTCAACCTAGCAGTCATGGAGTGGTGGACGTCAAGCACAAGTGCAATATCTTAATGTGGCTAGAAACTAGATTCACACAATGGAATCTTTCAAGAATGAAGCATCTTCTAGTCGCTAACTAAATGTATTTGTGCCAAAATGGATTTGAAAGGTGCATATACCTGCACCCAGGGGCTGACATAGTTATTTCCTGAGGGGAAGGGGCTGAAGGGAGGGGGGGGGGGGGGGGGGGGGGGGGGGGGAGGGGCAGGTGATTTTAACCCCCCCCCCCCACGTATCCCCACCCTAAATTTTTACACATGCAGAATTCAAGAGGGGAGTCAGGACATCCGGACAAACCCTCCGAATTCGCCACTGCCTGCACCCTTCCAAATGCTGCAGGGGCAAACTCATTTTTCTCCCAATGCAGATGTCTACTCATATTTATTTACTCATACATGCCTACTTATATTTGCGTCAGCCCAATGCCATACAAAACAAGACTGAATTGCAGAGACTGCTTGCTAAAGGATAAGAAAAAAAATTTGTGCACCCTCACAAGAAAAAAAAAAAAAAACTTTTGCAGCCTTACCACAGCCAATTTCATCCGAGTGGTCGACGCAGTGGGGGACACCGTCGCAGCGGTCTGGTGCGCGGTAGCAGCCAACCCCCGAGGCACACATGATCTTCCGCTCGCAGCCAGACATGCAGCCCTGTTCATCCTCTCCATTCTCACAGTGGAAGATGCTGCAAAGGCAACCCACTCCTAATTTGCTTCATGACAGGCACAGCATGAAAGGAATTGTACACGGCGATTTGAAATCTTTGCCCCTTCCCATTGAATCTCTCTTAATGTCTCTTAAAACTGTTGTAGATTATCAAGTCATTTGAAGTTGGTTCAAAAAGGAGCTTCTTTCTTCTCCAGTTGATGAGCACAAAGGAAGGAAGGAGAAAATCTTCAGCCTTGCTCGAGTGTTTGCGACTCAGCCTTTAAGTAAAAGAATCTCCAAAACACAAACAGATAAGAACTTTGCAGAAGATTCTGTTTAAAAGATGTTAAGGGTCCGGCTTGGGCCTCGAGAATGGCAAGTGTTACCGAGACCAGACCTTCAAGTTGGCCTGGGCTCGCGCAGAGCTGCAATAGATCTTTCGATACACCTTTCACACAAATATGCACCCTCCGGTAACAGCTTCACCAATTATCCCGAACCACCGTAGTATATTACTCGTGCGCTCTTAGCCCATACTCAACACAAATGCTCCATCAGTGTTCGGCGCAGATTTTCTTCACTTTGTGCTCGGGTCCTATCACCTCTTATGCGATGGAAATTATTGAAAATTGGCATCCCCAATATTTCTTGAAGGAATTCCGAAAAGGGTCTATTGGCCTTTGGAATTGACCTACTTAACTCCCTTGCCTTGTTCCAAACAAGTTGACAAAGAAAGTGGATCCATGACATTGCACCACCACCACAAAATTAGGGGTGGTGGTGGTGCACTGTAAATATCACAAACGACATTGGAAACACTTACTGTAAAACCCTTAATGGAGCCCTTCATTTTCGCAAATTTTGCAAACGCAAAATTGAAGGGCACGCAAAAATTTCCATCTTAAAGAATTTCAATGCAGGCATCTGGAAAACTCACGTTGACAATGTGTGCTCAGCTGCTAGGAAAAAACTCTGGTATCTCAAGCGCAATCTCAAGCTCGCTCCCCCTGAGACAAGACTAACTGCATATAAAGCACTAATACGGCCTACTCTAGAGTACGCTTCTATAATTTGGGATCCTTTTAGAGCCTATCAGATAAATAAACTAGAAAAAATACAAAGGATGGCAGCCAGATTTATATTGTCGAGATATCAGAGAACAGAATCAGTACAGGAAATGCTTAACTATCTCAACCTTCCAACGCTCTGTGACCGTAGAAAAATAGCACGCCTTAAATTCTTTTATATGCTACAAAATGGCCAATTTAATTTTAATACGGACCCTTACATAGTTGCTCGGCAGATCAGGCCTCTCAGAGGCAACCACTTAAACCACTACCAAATAGATACGGCAAATATTGATGCATATAAATACTCCTTTTTTCCAAGAACGATAACTGATTGGAACAGCCTACCACAAGAATTAACAACAGCAAATACACTAACCTTGTTTGAAAAAAGCATTCTTAACCTTTTTCAATGATATCTATCGAATCCTTAGTATTTCCTATTCACGTATAATCATGAGAAAATTGTGATGTTATTGTGTGATGTCTTTGCTTCATCGCTGTTTGACGATTTATAAATTCAATGTCAAGCGCTATTTTTGTATGTTTGAATTGTTGTTGATACAGTGTCCTTGTTTCTTTTTGTATTTGGTCATATGTATTCTCGTGCCTTGTGCACCCCTGTAACAACCCTAACGGGTTAACAGTATACCTAAAAAAAAAAAAAAAAAAAAAAAAATCTGGAGGGGCCACGAAAATAAAGGGTTTTACAGTATGCTGATTTCTGAATAACAACACTTTTTCCAACACACATGTATTTGTAAGCAAGCCAATGAATAGGTGGTAAGTTTTCAATTTCCTGGGGCCCCCCCCAGGAAATTGAAAACTTACCACCTATTCATTGGGGGGGGGCCGCCTGTGCATTAATAACCTCCAAGGCAAGAAAGGTAGGGGACTCAGACAAAACGTCACACACTTGTCACAGCGCTCGTTGAGAGGGTCGTAGCAGGTGGTGGACGTCGGGCTGCACAGCGTTCGGTTGGGACCGCAAAAAGTACAGTCGAGCTCATCGCTGAAGTCCGGGCAATCAGCCTGGCCATTGCAGCGCCCAGATCGGCTGTAACAGCCTGTTCCAGTCGCACAACGCAGCCACCCCTCAGGACAATCACCTGTCCCATATGCAGAGAAAAGTAAGGTTAAGAACAAGGAAAAGGCTGCTTCGGTTTCAGTGGAAAGAACACAAGAATTAGCATAAAGCACAGAACAAATGCCCTGGACAACAGCATCAGATTGCCAAATCTGATGAAGTCTAACGGCACGTTTACACTTGCGAGTCGCAGCGGTTGCGCGACAGCCTTTTATCGCAAAGGCAACCGCCGCAGTCGCAAAAGTGACCGGTTCGGGGCAGTCGCTTCCAGACCGATTTTTCAGGCTGGTCGCCAAGTCGCCCAGCAGCTGAACCAATTAGCGGCGCCTCAGAAGTGACTTATGGTGCTGCTCGCATTCGTTTACATCCTAAATCAGATCTGCCGGAAATGCAACCAACATGTTCATCCAACACCTCTGTTCACAGTACAGGCATGGAGGACTCCGAGATGATTAACGCATTAAGGGTACTTATTTCTTTACCACAAGCAGCACCTCTATTTGATTGAGCACCTAAAAGATAACTCGGCCTGGCAGCAAATCCGTGGCTTTTGGCTTGACAGGTATGTACTGTACCACGGAAGCTCAAGTGAGTGCATGCCGACCTAGAAACTGCGCTTTCGTTGTACGGTTCCGAAGGACCCAGCCCAATATCGCAAGTCTTTCTCTTATGGTGAAAACAATGCATGTGTAGCTGTGCGACAACAAAAATGGGAAAGCAGCGAGACGCATACTTTAGAGAGAAGGATGGAATAGACAGGCTTCTGAGCAGTGACTTGCCGATCGCCCGCAGTGTGAACATCGGTGGTCGTTTGTTGCATGCCACTTGAGCAACCGCTGCGACTCTTAAGTGTGAACGCGCCTTAACTGCAGTTGAAAACTTAATGCGTTTTGCTTACCCCAGCTCGGGTCATCACAGGGACAAACTTTTTACGACAAAAATTGGCGATTCTCCAAAAAAGTTAAACATCGACGTGACTGACATAACTTTTATCATTTTTTAGCTATCACAGAAATGTGATTGGCCTAAGCCATTTTGGAGCACATTTTGGAGCACCTTTTGGAGCAGACAAAACAGTATTTTGGAGCAGCAAAAGTGGCTTTTGGAGCAGCCCAGACAGTGTTTCGGAGCAGCAAAAGTGGCTTTTGGAGCAGATATTCTTAGAAAAATAAAAATTTTTGCTTTAAGTGCTGTACAAACAAAGGGCACTTTGTGTTCTGTTCTGATGTGACGTGTTGTGCCGGAACTCACCGCTTCTGTTTTTACTGCTGAGACATTCCACAAGTGTACATGCTGTAGGCATCGCCGAGCAATTCCGAAAAACCGCTTGCCACCATTTTACTGGTTCCCGACGTGCCAGATATTTGTCGAAAGTAAGCAAATGTAAAACAATTAATTGTAAGCATCCTGGCTGGTGTTTATGTCGAGCAATCATGTTTGCATGCACATGAGAGCAACTTCGGTAGGCTTGCAGTTGCGCATGCTTCGTCGCGCGAGTGGAGACAACGGCTGTTCAATTGAAACTGAAACCATGCCACTCTGCTCCGTCGCCAATTGATTTGAAAAATGGCTTGCAAAATGTAACTGTTGAGCATACAACAAAAAACATTCTAGCAGCGCACGCTTGCCAGGCTGGCAAACAAGGTACAAGCTAAAAAAAGAAAAAGAACCCGAGCGCATCGATGCACAACGTTGCGACTCAGGGTCAAAAAGTTCTTGGAGCGCTTTGTGCAACGACTGAACTCGAGACAAACAAGCGCACTGTGCAGGTTCAGCGTGCAGATGTTGCCCTCTTTCCTTTAGCTCACTTCTCTTCAACTTTCTTTCGCGGCAGATTTTTCACGTACCGGGTCCCTCTCGAAAGGAAGCCCACCGAGAGAAATTTAAGCAAGCAATACTTCAACACAGCAATCTTTGAGTTAAAGAGGGATTTTTGGAGCAACATGATTTAAACAACAGGAATGTTGATGAACATGCGGCGGTACTTAGTTTCATTTTAGAAAGCGCCATATCTGCAGAGACGTGGGGACGGCATGGCAACACCCTACGTCGAGCTATTACAGTGACTGGAAGGCAGGGACCAAATGCAGTTTTCCCGCGGTCGTTGCTTTCAGGAGTGAGTGCTTCAGCGATCACAGTGACTGGAAGGCAGGGACCAAATATAGTATACCCACGGTCGTTGCTTTCAGGAGCGAGTGCTTCTCACAAAGTAACTCCCGCCGCGCAAAAACATGGTTTCGTTTCACAGCATGACAGCATGGCTGGTACCCGAAATGCTAGCGTCGGAGCGTCGGCACACACCCGCGTCTATCGTTGAAAATATTTTTTAAAAAGTTGCGAGACGAGACCCACGAGACGACGAAAGCGCGAAACACGATACAGGCGGGAAAACCATGCAAGACCGGATGGACAATTGATGCAGGGTATATTATGTCAGGCGGCCGCTTGCACCACATAACATATGCATGCTCAATTACGGTATTCAGTTTAGTTCTGGCTTTGAAAGGCGACCGAAATTGTTTTTTTGGAGCAGGCTAGGCGCAGATTACCCATATTTTGGCGAAGTGTAACAATATGTAGCAGGGTTAGCCCCTTGGCGCAATTGCGCAGTAATCACATCACGGTCATCATTGCTTCTCTCATTGGTGGGACAATACTATACAATTTATTATGTTGTTTTTTTCTTCACATTTTAAACATGGTGCTGAAGGCCCCTGAAAGCAGATGTTTTGCAGAATTCCTGATCAACATATGTTTAGAGCGGAGTTTGGAATGCCTCCTATGGGCAGGTATTGCAATGGGGCCATACCTGTTTTAACTCTCACAAAAGTTCTTCCAAACTAGACTTTTATAGGCTTGATTAAAAACATATTGAATTGTGTCAGTCACTGTTTATGAAATGATTGTAGTGTCCAATATTGCTGAAGTATTTATATTGATAGAAATGGTATCAAGAAATAGCTGTAACTGATCAAAACGTCAGTAGTGCAACAAAAAATGTATAAATTAATTTTAAGAAATCTGCCAACCGTTTTAGCAACCTCAACTCAAGTAACAAATAAACTGCATACTTTTTTAATGTTTCAGTCTTATTTTCTTTAAACTCTCGATGAGGAAAAAAAAAAATTGACAAAGTCGACATACCTTCCTGCTGTGTTAAAACTAATCAAACGAAACAGATGGCTTCATCTGGGCACAAAAAAATACTGTTATTGCAGACTTTTTTGCAGTACAGCTATGTTTCGTTATGTGCAAAGATACTAAGCTATTCATCATGAAGTGCACATGTCCACAAATAACTGTCACTGGGCTGTACAAGTTCATTTAGCTTTCGAACAAACGAAGTGCCAGTTTTTTGCAAAATATTTTGCGAAAAGGCTGCCCTCAGAAAAATACTACTTGGCATTACAAAAAAAAACTGGCTGTATAAGTTGAGTGTATGTTATGGCAACTGTAATTAAAGCAAAAAAAAAAAACACATTTTGTTTCGATAAGTACGAAAACAACATGAAGGTGCAAGATATTACTTATTTTAAGTGAAGTACCATCTACACCATTTTGAATAACAATGCAAGTGTGGGAGCCCCGTCGTGTTTTTCATTAAAATTAGAAATGATTCACATAATAGTCAAGATAATATTACTAATTAAAATTAGTGGCTTAAAATAAAATTTTCTTGAACACAAAGGTTAACCCTTCGGGAGAATGACCCAAATGTATAGTTTACATCTCATTTACCAAATGTACATTTACGTGGAACAAACGAGTTGAACATAAAATATAAAATGTGTGCAAAGCATACACCACAAAGCAGGCAAAAGCATGTGGAAAATAAAGAACAATAAACAAAGAAAGAAAAAAACAATATTCATGATGCCATACCCAACCAACCACTTAACTTAATTAACTAAACAAATGTGTTCACATCAATTGACTATTTCCAATTTTTAGCTTAACGATCCCATGAAGCCCTGAAGTTGGTGCGGCCTGCATGTTATCCTCTTGAGGAACATGTGATCATCCCTATAGATATAGCTGCAAAGCCTTGTTTTCAAATGTTTGCCTTGACATATCAAAATGCTTAGCATTTAATTTACTTGAGAAGACAAAATTTTGAACAAATTATATCAGCATGCATAACCTGCACACCCAGGCTTTTAGTGAAACAAAAATATAAATTAACACTTTAGCATACATTTGATACTTGGCTACACCCACTTGGAGAAACTGGAATAAATAAAAGCAAAACTAATAATACCTTAGTTTTGTTTAACCCGAGACTGGGGTATTTCGGAAAAGGGACGAGAAGAAAAGAGGCCACAAGGAGGCGACGTCTCAAACACAGCTAAGGATTTTATCCCATCGTATGCACTTTTATACACACCACGTCCACACACCACCAACCAAGTCGACCAATGACAACATAACACCCGGAATACACTAAGCCAAACATAGGCCCAAAACGTTGCCTCCTTGTGGCCTCTTTTCTTCTCGTCCCTTTTCCGAAATACCCCAGTCTCGGGTTAAACAAAACTATGGTTAACTTCCACCAGCTCGCCTGCAACCTTACAATTTTTTCACTAATAATACCTCTTGCATTAGGACTACATTCTTAGGATCTCCACTTTTATTTGATTGCTGATTTTGTTTGTGTTGGTGCACCAATGAGAAGACCAATGCGGTTGTTTTGGGGCATCCAAAAATAAAGATTATTATTATTATTATTATTAAGAAAAGCCACAGTAACCATTTTGCATGTAAGCCTAAGAAGTGAATGTCTAAACTCTTGATGGCACTAAAAGAATAGCTCTCAATGATTACAATTTAAGTCATGACCAGATTCATGTTTCGATGCACCATTCCCCTGAAAAGAAATAATTAGTGATGGGCCAAACTTTTGCCAAATACAAAATTTGCGGCGGAATCTTTGGATTTGGCAAAGCCGAAGCTTAGCAAAACTTATTGAAAGATTCGGCAAAAATACATTGTTGCCAAACTTAAAAGTTGATATTTCGTTCTTTCGGGTGAAAAAAGTTTCATTCAATTTTTTTAAATGCTTATTGACTAGCGATGGAACGAATCTGCCAAACTTTTGAAGATAAGTTCGGCAAACGCCTGCACACACGCGAGAATGTGACGGGGCCATGGATTGCAAATGGATGCTGTGCGGTCAAGCGGTTACCATCGTACAGTGTAGCACTACCAGCGGTTACGTCGAGGTGCGGAATATTTGGTAACTATGTGTTTGTCAACCTTAGCGAGTGGGGTTTTCTTCAATATTTTCTGCCTCAAGAAAAGAAGATCGACCACGAATTGACATGGTCTACTGCGCAATGACGCAGTACGTTCTGGATAACGCGATTTTCATTTTATATTTCCAGCGATGCACGAGCTAGTTGCAACATTTACTGACAAGCTATTTCACTGTTTTCATCCATCCATACACAACTATCATGCTCGACGTTGCACATCCGACATTCCCAACTACTAAACGTCCGCATGAGTCCTAATATCAGCAACCGGAATTTTGAAAGTAAAAAAATGAGACGTCGCAAATATGAGATGCACACTTGCATCAAGCTAAAGTGGCTAAACCCCCCCCCCCCAAAAAAAAAAAACAACAACAACATATATTTACAATAAAATTGTTATCTCTACTGGTGAAGGCTCAGCAGCTGTTACATTCATTTTCGTGCAAGAGAGGGTGACTCGCAGAGAAAGTAAGAACGCAGTGTTTATTTCAACAATGTACATACACACTTCAAGGATTGCACTGATGAGGCCTCAAAACCGAAACTTGCCTATCGTGACTGCGCCTGCTACCCCGCTACCACCCAACCTCGTTGTCACACCACTTCTGCAAAACGTCACTGTAAAATTGCCAGTAAACACACAAAAATGACACCGATCCAATTATCTTGTAGAATATCAGCTTATTTAGTAACAATTGTGTAAAAATGCATTTAAAAAAAAAACTAAAAACTTTCTGCCCCCGGAAAAACGAAATATCAACTTTTAGACCTGGCGACTATGTATTTTTGCCGAATCTTCAGAAAAGTTTGGCTTCGACGCATCCTGAGATTCAGCGCCAAATTTTCGATTCGGCAAAAGTTTGGCCTATCAATAATAGTGACACAGTTATTATTAAATAAGGTGATATTCTACAAGATAATTGTAGCAATGTCATTTTTGTGTGTTCACTGGCAATTTTAGTGACTTCTTGCAGAAGCGGTGTGACAACGAGGTTATGTAGTAGCGGGCGCAGTGGCGCAGTCAGGATACGCGAGTTTCAGGTTTGAGGCCTCATCAGCGCAAGCCTGCAAGTGTGTACACTGTTAAAATAAAGGCAATAACACTGTGTTTTTACTTTCTCTGCGAGTCACCGTTTCGTGCGTGAAAATGAATGCAACGGCTGCTGAGTCTTCACCAGAAGAGATAAGAATATTAGTGTAAATATGCATGTTTCTCGATTTGAGTTACTTGACGCCAGCTTTGCATGAAAGTGTGCGTTTCATATTCACGTCTCATGTAACAATTAAAATGCCGGTTTCTGATGTTAGAACCAACGTGGAAATTTAGGAAGATAGGCAAAGTTAGGAATATCAAATGTGCAACGTCGAGCACGATAGTTCTGTATTTAGTTTTATGCAGATATATGAAAACCGCAAAATAATGCAAATTAAAAAGCAACATTTTATTTCGGCACAAACTACTTGCGAACCGAAAACAGGATTACTATAATGGCAAGGAGTGCTTTAAAGCACCTGTCAGTCAATATGCAACAACCTCGTTGCATCACTGGAAAGATCAAAGGAAAATCATGTTATCCAAAATGTACCACATCGTTTGTCACTTGTGCAGTGGACTGCATCAATTCCAGGTCAATCTATTGTTCTTGAGGCAGAAAATATTGAAGAGAACCACACTCACAAAGGCTGACAAATACACAGTTACCAAGTCGCCTACTCCGCACCCCACCAAAACCACTGGTAGTACAACACTGTGCGATGGTAACCGCCCGGCATCCATTTGCAATCCATGGCCCCGTCGTGCGCGTGCGCAGATGATTGTTGAATTTTTGCCAAATCTTAGCCGAACTTTCCTTCAAAGGTTTGGCATGTGCTGAACTTTAACGAATCTGAAGTTCAGCAGATTTGGTTCATCACTAGAAATAATGTCCCAAAAAAAGGCTGCACACGACTTTCGGATGCTAGTGCCATCTTCAGACTGACAACTCAAGATTGGGACATCTAGAAAGGGAAGCATTTCCATTTTGCATAATCTTAGGGGCATGCACTTCAATTCTGTCAAGGAAACGTACTGAATGTTCACTGAGAAAAGGATTGAGGGACTCACAGTAAAGCTCATCAGAGTTGTCCTCACACTCCATGTGGCCATTGCAGGCCCAATGCAGCAGAACACACTTTCCATTGAGGCACTGAAACTCATCTGGCCTGCATGACTGCTGGGTGAACCCACCTACAAGCATAATCAAAGGGGAAAAAAAAAGTTGTGACAAGATCTAAAAATATGTTTTTGCCAAGAGCATTTGCCAGCAAGAAAAAGAACTGCTTACTCCTAAAGCAAACTTCAAAAAACAAACTTCATTGGTTAAAAAAAAGGTATGTAACGAATTGTTTATTTATAAATATAGCTGGCTTTTCCTCATTATACAAAAATGAGTGCATTTATTTTTGTTCAGCAATAATCATGCTGAGAATTGAGACTGAGTGATATGTCTCCATCACAGAAAGAACTTAAGTGGGTCGAAACATTCCCATATTGCCACTACAGAGTATTTACAAAGTTTAAAGCAGGGTACTATAGAGGGAAATCACCACCGACCACCATCGTTGTGGTCAAAGCAGTGTTCCATGGCAGATACTACAACACAGGCACGTAGCCAGGATTTTGTTTCGAGGGGGGCCTAACATGACAAAATGTATGTGGGGGAGGGGGGAGAGGAGGCCCCAGCAAAATGGAAGATTTCGGGGGGGTGGGGGTGGGGAGCCCCCGCCCCCGCCCCCCCCCCCCCCCCCCCCCCCCCCCCCCCGGCTACGTGCCTGCTGCAGCATAGTAAACTGTGCCACAGCTGGTTGCATGCATTGTGCATACATTGCGAAAATAAATTTTACAATGTATGGACGATCAGTATTGAAGTGCACATATAGAGCCCAAGCAAGTGAACCGAAAAGTGTGCTGGTAACAGTAAGAGTACAAACACAATGAACAAACAGGACAACAGATGACGCATGCTACTCTTTCAACTAGCGATAATGTGTACTATTTTATTTCGAAAAGTGGATTGGCGAGAAACCAACCCATTCCCACGTCCCAGTTGGGTATCGCCACTGATGCACTTGTGAAATTATTAAATATTGTTGCTGGCTGAGAAGTGCATGAGTAGTCTCTTGTCCTGTTTGTTTATCCTTTCTCCACACTATAGATGTTTTGTGTTTCTACATCTTTTTCAAAAGTTATACTATTGTCTTTGGGTCACAGACACCAAACCTAAAGTGTGCACTGTACCAATGTGCAGGCCTCATAAATTTAATCAGCAGCTGTTGTATTAATCTTCCACCGCAAAGAAAAACGACTGCCAGGACGGCTGTTGTGTAGCAGCGGCATAGCCAAGGGCGAGGAGTTATCAAGCTGAAGCCCCCCCCCCAGCAAATTCAGCTGACCCTATAATATACACACACATTATGCACCACCCACCCCACCCCAATTCATCAATGTTCCCACTATCGATAAGCTAAAGTCAAACAGAGAAAACATTGATAGACATACTTACCAACTGTGTAGGACAGCTGGAATCCACGGCCCCTAGGAACCTGGAGTGGCGAGGTATGGAACTTGATCCACACTTCGCTAGTTGTAGACAGAAAAGGTTCGGGCACAGTCTTTCCACAGTACACCTTCTCCCCACCGGTTGGAGTCGGACCAAGCTTTATCCACGTTCCACCACAGCATGCCGTGGTCTCGCAGTCTGCTGGACCGCCCAGATTCAAATCGTCGAAGCTGTGCCCAAATGAATAGGCATAACCAAAAGCTCGCAAGTGAATCTCCACTGCCAGTCTGCAGCTGCCTACCAAGATCCAGCCGACAACAACCGGGTGTGGCAACACGCCACGATACGGGTCTCGCACCCTTACAAATAAACAGTTGAAATTCAGACATCAGATCAGCTAGGCGTTCCTACAAATTTGGTGATCTGCATATTGCGATCTGCTCTGCCATGTACCTGCCTGAACATGAACGACTTGGTATGAATGCACACACTGATGATGCCCGTGGCTCTGTCCTCCAATTATGTCATATCTGAAGGGGCTGCCAGAACACCTTTCTCTATAGCTGGCACCATTTCTAATTGACTATAATGCATTAAATGCAAAGGTACAAGCGAGCTGGTCAAGAATGAAGAAAATAATCCCTGAAGAAGGGGAACAAGAGGGACAAAGGACAAACACAAATCTCCTAACAAAGCTAGGTGACTGGTGCACGACCGAAAAAATCCACCTGGTCCGGATATCGAACCCAGGACCTCTCCATTTCCAGTGCAGCGCTCTACCAATTGAGCTAACCAGGGGACAAACTTCAACAGAGCAAACAGGGTTTATCAGCTGCCACCAGTCTCAAACCCCATTCACATGGTCAAAATAAAGGTACCTTTAACGTAGGTCCCTTTGCTATCGGCGAATCAGCCCGTGCTCTTTGGTCGCGAGCACACGCCACGCGCGGAAGATTGTCAATTGATTCACCGCAGAGAATAAAGGTCCCTTAGCTAAAGGTACCTTTACGGTCGTGTGAATGGGGCATAACACCAACAAGGGTGAAAGGCTTGCATTTTAAGGTTACGATTATAATGCAATTAAATGCAAAGGTGCAAGCGAGCTGGACAAGAATGACGAAAACAATCCCTGGAGAAGGGGAACAAGAGACAAAGGACAAACACAAATACCCAAACACAGCTAGGTGACCCGTGAGCGACCGAAAAAAACCCGCCTGGTCCAGGTATCGAACCCTGGACCTCTCCATTTTCAGTGGAGCGCTCTACCAACTGAGCTAACCAGGGGTGAGACCATTTCTAAAAATGGGTGACCGCACCCTGGATTTGTCACACAAAAGAAATTTAGGTTATAGTGCACTGAACTAAGTGAAATCATCAAGACACCAAAAAGTCAACTGATCGGAAAATAAACTCGTGCAAAAGATCAGTGTTGCTAGAAAAAATCTAAAGCACACCGATATTAAATTAGCTGTGCTCACACAGCATGATGCAGGGTAGAATAGAATGCTGTTATCGAAAATATGTGGGGGGAGGAGGTTTTGTACTGCTGGCCTAAGCGAGAAAGAAAACAAGCAATATGCAGCAGAAGAGTTCATGCTTCTCCACCAGATATGCAGATCTGTTTCCTTATCATAAAGCTAGAATTAGGAAAGGGGGTCACAAGCACCTGTTTTAATTGAAGAATGCCGATAAACAGCCACCATCAACAAAATTATGGTAGTCGCCAAAGCCAAAAAACACCTGTTCACCAAGTATTGTCAGTAAACAATGTGAGGCAACATTAACCTCTACCTAACTAGCGAAGACTTACTAGACTCCTCACCTCAAGAAAAATGCAAGTTTTGTGCATAGCTCGTGCAATGCACGAAATAGTTCATACAAAACTTGGCTGTCAAAGAGAAAAAAAAAAACTATCCCTTTGCATTTGTAAGATGTTTTGATGAAATAACTGACCCTAAATACACATCAAGTAGCTTTATCAAAGAATAAACTTTTCACTGCAGTTCTTCATACAATAAGTGGGGAAAGTATACTCAAATATCTAAATTAAGATTCTTATTCTATCCTTTATTTTACCCTTTTTTGCCAATCATAGTAGTACAGGTGTAGCAAGTCACAAAAACTAATTCCTAAACAAACAAATGTCGAAGATCATAGGCTTTTCCCTGAAATAAATGTTGCACAACCACTGGCCTACCATGGATGATGAAGGATTCATAAATTCTCAACCACATGATGGTCAATTTTGGTGTGGGAGCCCCTCCCAAAGTCTTTCAACTATAGGTAGCTGTGGAATACAGAGTTAGCTTTCTCCTGCAAGATCTGATCCCAAGTACCACAATTAAAAAGGGCCATTCTGCATGCAGTGCCGGTCTGCATGCATTGCTGTACTTTTTCTATGTACACTCAGGGACAAACGTTTCCGGACCTTGGGAGCGGTGGCCTATACACATTGCTACGCCCTCCGATGACGCGGCGACTGCTGTCGAGACCGGTGCCTGGCACATGCGCGTCCTTCCATACTCGCAGGGATGCCAATTCTTTAGTTTCCGGCAGCCGTACTGCGATTCTCAATAACTTGCCGCGTGGCGCTCCTTCACAAGCATCCACACCAAGCTGCGCCAGAGATTCGCGCTAAAGGGCTCGATATAGGTCTTTGGTGCGCCCGCCAGCGGTGGTCGGCGCTAGCTACATTAGCCCCGGTGCGCCAGAGATGCACCTCTCTAAAGTCCATCGCTATCGGTCCCAGGCTCTGGGGCTCCGGGTGCTACTGTGCAAGTGCAGCATGCCATGCAAGCACGCACGGAGCATTCTGGTCAGGCTAGCCTAGCACGAAAAAGAGCAAGACTTATTTCGCGACAGTGACGCCCAAGCGACAGAGACGCGGCAAGTCACTGAGAATTGCAGTACGGATGCCAGAAACAAAAGAATCGGCATCCCTGCGAGTATGGAAGGACGCGTATGCACCAAGCACCGGCCTCGACAGCAAGCCCCGCGCCATCAGAGGGGGCAGCAATGCATATCAGCCACCACTCCCGTGGTCCGGAAACTTTTGTCCCTGATTGTACCTCTAGTGTCTGCTCTATCATTAGCGTTTCTGAACAAGCAGAATGGAGCAATCAGACTTGGTGAGCCTATAAGTATAAGGGGCCTCAATGGTCCAATTTCTAGAATGTAGTCAATGGCCATCTATGTCACACAGGAGAGAAATAAAAATGTTTGGTGAGCCAACAGTCTTTTTCACGTTTGTGAAAAGATAGGAGTAGATGGTAGAGCTGAGAAAACAGTCATGGCATCACTAATCTAAAAGTTAAGTTATTGTACTTCGCTTGTACCTAAAACAATTTAAGCCAAACAACACAGGCCTTACTGTCCACAGAACAGCCCAATGCACACCATCAGGTATGTCGTGACATCAATGTCAAGACTGGTCGATGTGCAAAGCCAAGCATATTAATTTTATTAGAATGTGCAAAGATTAGAAAACCACAACTAAAAATAACAAAGTGAAAACAACTTGCTATAAACATGAAAAAGGGCAGAGCAATATGTTTGTTTGCAATCAACAGGTCACGATGGCAGTGAGGCCACCCAGCTCAATGTCAGGTCCCTATCATGTACAAAGTATGAATGCATCATGCCCAGTAATGATACCCAGCAAATTCCAAGCAGTAGTAGAATATTGGCAAGTTAGTTACTCCCATGCAATGCCCAAAAACATACACTCAATTCATACTGCATACAAAATATGCATAGCTGCAAGTCAGTGGTTACTTCTGTTCAATCATTCAGATTGCAACATACGATGAAGGCAAAACCAAACCCCATACCACATTGTCAAACACACTCTTCCTAGAAAGAAGACACTGTTGCCTTCTTATTTGGACACTGGAATTGCTGTCTTGTAGGAAAAGGAACTTGCTGCTCACAGACTTGCACTAAATTTTACAGGCACTAAATTCTGACTCATAACACTTTGAGCATTTAACAAAAAAGCATACCAAAGGTAACGATAGTCCATGTAAGGTATGGCTTGTCACTACTTTTACTTGGTAACACAAACACGAGGCACCTCTTGACATTTCGAGAGAGAAGGGGTAGAGTCATACCAGTGGTTCAACAAGTGCTGCATTAAAGATGATCAGATAGAGTAAAATGCGTATGGATGTGTGCAACTCCGGGCCTAAACTTCACATGAATTCTTTTCACATGAGACACACTTCTGGCATGAACTACTAAACTGAGTACCATTTCCTTTTAGACACAATTAGTTGTGCAGATCAGCTGCCTCTTACCTGATGGTAATGACCTGCCCTACACGACCAATGATGTCCCAGCTGCACGAAGTGTGGTTTGAATAGAAAAGGGGGTATCCCGGGCTGGTTATCTTGCCGCTGGGGCCGACCCGTCTCTGCTGCTGGCAGGGCGCTGCAATTTGACAAACTTGCTCTACACCACCTGGCGGGTAACGACTCAAACGTAACATGCAAAAAAATTAATACCACCCAAATGCTTACCCAATTCAGATTTTGGTTGAAAAAACGCTCGTATGGATGTGCACTCATGATGAATAACCGCTGCAAGAGATAATTCGCTGTTCAGTCAGGAAATCTACCGACTCATCCATTTTGAGAGTGTCACCAACATGATTAGAGTTAGGATGGCATCCATTGGCACAACGTACAGCATCCGTTATAATACAACAGGCATTAATAGCTCCATCCTATTTATTATCTCCAAATTACATATCCAAGAAAAGATCACATACATAAAATACGGCAACTTCGCACCAGGACGAGATTGGGCAAAAAATCATTTTTTGTTAAATCCATTAAGGAGTGGAACGCCTTGTCTTGTAAAATTGTTTGTGCCGCAAATGCTGAAATGTTTTTTCTCGTGTTCATTCGGCCCCAGTGATCATGTCCGATGGCGCTGCAGGACACCATGAATAAATAAAGAATGTTGCAGTTCTCAGTCTACCGCGAAATGTAAGCAGCTCAACATGACACGCGTGGCTCTTCGTATCGAGGTTCCGACTCCTGGAGCTACTGTGGCTAACACGCGAAATCTATCAGCAACTTTCCGGACATTTCACACGGAGTCCACCCACCAGCTGTAACTGCTCATGTCCGCGCTTCAATTGGTTTGTCCCCGTCCACGCAAAACGAGGCCTCGTCGTTTCAAAGTCTTCCGACACCCGTACGAACCGATCACACGGCTTCGCCGAAAGCAGGGCAGGGTAGAGAAACATGTCATAGCTTCGAGAAGTGAGAAACTAAAAAGTTTTAAGCCTAAGTGAAAGCTACTTACCTGCAAGTAGCACAGCCGTAAAAAGTTGGGCCATGTCTGAAACAACGTCCGCTAACACCTTCTAAAGATCAATTTGGCAACGTCGGGTCATTTTAACGAAACTTGGCTATATCAGCATAACTAACGAGTACGAGAAGAAATATATATTAAGTGTCAAAGCTCAACACCGTCAAACTACCATCTCAGACCATCAACACCTATACTCTCGACAGCAACGTTCTTTACCTTGACGTTTTTTTCCTTTTCCTATTTTCTTTGTTGTCGATAGGGGTGTTGCGAACTTTAGTCGAATTTGAGGAGCGATAAAACAAAGTTCGCAAAAGTTCGCTTTTTGGACAGTGTCGCCAGAGTTCTATACGAAAGTGTCTAGGTTTAGAGACAACTGCTGTGCACAGTCCAGTTGTTTTCGTTTTGTACTAAGCAGTGCTAACCGTGTAATGCACTGATTTGGTGTAATGTCTGTAATACTTCCTTCTGAATAGACCTTTCCAATGTTGACAAATCCACAGCTCAGCGTGCGATCTCCACAGCTCAGCACGCGCGTGTGCGTCGCTTCGGAAAGCGAGCAAATCACGCGCGATACCAATACCACCTAGAAGACAAGGCCTGCGCATGACGTTTCGTTAGTAGATCCCCGACCCGCCCCAAGCGGCAAACACCCCGAAGCTTGACGAGAGTACGGGCCGCGTCGCAACTACGTCGCATTCACTTGCGGCCGCAGCTGTGTGCGTGACTGCTGAGCGCGAGCTGATAGCCAGCTTCCAGTGCATTTGCGACGTGCACGCGAACGCTCCCTCGGCCAGGAGCGCGAGCTAGCACGCGCTCCTGGCTTTGAGACGCGCATTTCTAGCGCGCGCGCTCGTTCTGCGGTAGAACGCTTCGAAGCAGCTACCCGAGGTATAAACAGCGCCCTCGAAAATGGCGTCCAGTGCCGGCGTCCAGCGTCCATCGAAGGGCTCTTCAGCCCTTCGCGCAGCAGTAAGGCAATTTCGCTCATGCATTTGACGCTCCACGTGAACGTCTAACTTCATCGTATGCAATTTGCAAGAGACATTCGGCGTGAGCATCTGTTTCATTATCTGTTACACAAACCACTGAAGCAGGCGATGGAGCAGACGATGTAGCAGACGATGTCGCTCATCCGGGCTAGCTAGGGGGCGCTGAGGGGATCTACTAGTGATGACGTTTAGAGGAGGAAACGCGCAGGCCTTGTGTTCTAGGTGGTATTGGCGATACGCACGAACACAGAAAATGAAACCGGCCAGCAGCCCTTTTCTGGAAAGGTCTGTAAAGCGCCGTTCACACTCTTGCGACCGAATAAGACCGAGAGAGACCAGACCGGTTTTTAAGCCTTTTGCGACTTCTTAGGACCAGGTGGGCTGCAGCAGAGCTGGCCCTAAGAAATCGCAAGAGGCTTAAAAACCGGTCTGGTCTCTCTCAGTCGCACTCGGTTTCAAGAGCGTGAACGGGCCTTAAGAGGAATACGCACACCTGCCTGTTTTGGCATGACACAAGTTACAACACATAGACCTTTTTACATTAACATGTTATCAATCTCAAAGCAACTCAACTCGTTGCACTTGTTAGTTTTGCTAATTTGTGATTCCTTAAGTTTATCTCTTTTTTTTTTATCTACCGCCACTAAAATCCAATTCAATCCAATTTTAGCGCATGCGCAAAATAGTTGCATTTTATAGCGAGTTCGTTTCACGGCACTCACGGCACTCGTGCCCACGCGTGCCCACTCGCAGCGTGGAGCGGGTTCGTTTCCATAGAGATCATACATACTAACTCTAGAGGAAAAGGTCCGCCACGTCCGCCACAGAGCTCTAGTCCGCCATTTCCCATGCATTCTGGCTGCCGCAAGCGGCGGAGTATGCAGGCAGACCCTCGGGGTCCCACATGGTTACCAACTGCCTTCGATATTCGCGTTCTTTTCGAAGTTTTCTTTTTGCATAGCACGCAGATGTACGGCCTCCCGTCAACACTAAACTAAACCAGACAACCGGCTTTGGTTATCTGGTTTAGTTTCATATTTCCGGGCGCGGCCCCCCGCGCGCGGAAATACGAAACCGCGCAACTACCAGATTTTCGAGATTTCGACAGAAGGGAAGCTAATGCAGCGTAATGAGTATGCTGCTTTTTATAAACCTTCGAATAGCTCAGAATTTAGTTTGCAACGTTAAATTATCACTGTTTATATTGCTGAGAGTTTTCAGTCTTCGCGATTACCATTGCGACTGTCGTCCTTCAGCTGGCAACATTGGTTTCTTTCTCTCGTGTTTTGTCGCTCTCTTTCGCGATCTTTCACTCGGGACCCAGGATGTCGGCGCGCGGGATTTGCCACTCCTCCTCACCCACCTTTGTCCCCCTGTTCGTTTCAGCCGGCATTCCACGCGTGCACGCACTCGCTCCACTCGCTGCGGCGGGGAGCGAGTGCTATCCCGTCATGCCTCGCTGCGGCGGGGAGCGGGAGCAGACGACGAGGGTTCGTCTGCTACGATGTGTTGCGGAACCGAAAGAAAAGAAAAAGTAGATTTTCTGATAGGAATCGCGTCCTGCGGTCAACGGAATCAAAAGCGAGCTTGAGTTGTGAGCGTCTGCTATTTCATGAAGGGAGCGATTGACAAACCGTGCTCTATTTGCTCTGTTGCCGTACAGACGCTGAAATATACCAGTGTGTCAAGAAATGCTCAGAGCAAACGCATCAGCGGCCCCCGAGATGTCTATCACCATCCGTGTGCGGGTGAAACATTGAACATTTGTCGACAAAACTCTTCCAGCAGAAACCTGTGACTGCACAATAAGCATCAGAGAAAGCTAAACATAGTGACTTTACCCGAGGCTTGGGCAACATCATCGTGTTTAAAGGGCCCATGAAACAATTTTTGGGTTGGGATAAATCATTTTAGATTGGGATTTTACTAATAGCACATCCTTCAGTGGACCAAAAGAAAACAGGTAGAAAGTCAAAAGCCTGACTTTCAGTGCGAAAATTTGAAAACAGAGCGGGCTATTTCGTACCTCCTCCCCTTCGCAACCTCTCTGCCTTTTCACTGTGATACATCCGCGGTCCCAAAAGCGCGTCATCGGGTCCAAACTGACGTCACACGCAACCGGACCTCACTTATTCCCTTCACCCCTAAGCTGACATTGTTCTACAAGCTACGCGCTTGCCCGACCAATCAGCCGCCTCCTTTTCATCACCTGACTTCATTCTCTGCAGCCACATTTGCCACGCTCACGTAGCGAGTGTGGCTGGCCCAACGAGCACGTAGCTTCCACAGCACTGTCAGCTTCGGAATGAACGGGGTGGGGAAAGCACTTTTGTCTGAATTTTGAGCGACGGGCTAATCTTCTAGGGGGACAATGGCTCTGTCCGGTTACACAAACCAGATTCCGAGCGAGAGGGGCCTCCCTTCTTTTCGTCTTCTTTAAAGCGCAATCCAAACCAGCGCTTCTTTTTGCGCCTGTAGGTCGTGCGGCTGCGGATGTGACGCATTTCGTGGCATTTTTGCTGTTTCCGGGCGCGCTTTCTGAGTCAGAACCGTGCGCTTTGGTTTGGACGGGCGAAACTTCGGCACGAGCGCACAAGCAAAGTGCAACTGCGACAGACTGGCCGGCCAGACGGCGAGAGAAAGAGAGAGAGAGAGATCGCGTTGTCATGTTGGAAGAGAATAAAAGGGGGGGAGGAGAGGGCAGCCAGACGGCGAGAAACGCGGAGCCGGAACTAGCTTGCCCTCCACCGATTGGCCGGGACACAGGAGCGCCCTACTACGTCACCGCGCGTTTTTGTGCGCGTTGAGAAAGAAGTTGAAATCAACCAACTTTTTTATGCGCACCCGGAAGGAGCGAAGAAGCGGCGCGACGTCACGAAAATGCGTCACATCCGCAGCCGCACGACCTACAGGCGCAAAAAGAAGCGTTGGTTTGGATCGCGCTTAACTGTTTGGTGGAATGCGCGATTTATGAGTTGAGGAAAGCTAAACAAGAAAAAGTTGGAAAAGCGTGTCATGACCCCTTTAACATTTACCTACGTCAGCTAACTTGCCCCGTCGTGTTCTCAACGCCCTCACCAAGGCTAATATCTGATCCACCTGTAATGACGATCGAAATCGAAAGTCCCATGAAAAGTTTTGTTGGATATTCCAACAGACTAGTTTTAAGCCTTACCCTTTCAGTGGTTCACGTATAATACCATGCTCAAACGGATCAAGTTTCTGCTCGGACAGCATCATCAGTTTTCTTCCGTGTAAGCGGCTATAAAGAGATCGCAACCAGCTGCTTTGTAGACAGCTGGTTGCGGAAATTTACGCCATCTGTAACTATCTCTACGACAGCCGAGTTGCTTGACGTCATGGCAAATATAAACTACAAGTTGTAGCGATCAATGTTTGTAGATAAATGTTGGTAGCGACTGCACTCTCGCATTCCTACCCATACTCCGAACAGAAAGACGCTACTTTCGGTTTGAGGTTGGTATCTTTTCTACAACATAGATGGTGGCAGCATCAGTTTTCTGCACTCGGTGCATCTGGCGAGTTCGTTTGAGTCCAGCTGTGCAACACTCTGCGAGTGCGATGCGTTCTGGGAGAGAACTCGAACGGTGCCAGTGCGTGTGAAACAAACTCGCTATTAGTCGAACTATATTGTCGACCTTGAGTACAAGTTCGAAAAAGTCGAACTTGGACTTCGGCGCTCGGTCATTCCTAGAGCTATATAGTGCTCTCACTGAGTGCTCTAGTCATTCCGTTTCACCTTGCTACGGAGCGCAGCAGATCTTAAAAACCATCTGAGCCAATCCAAGGCCGTATAAATGTCACGTGCTGTTTAACGTGAGATCATGCAAAACGCGAGAAACGTGTAGGCACGTGATACTTTCACAGCACTGGATTGGCTGAGATGGTGATGGCATGTAGTTCTTGGTCCGTTGCGATTGTTAGGTGACCGAAACGGAGTTTGTGCCGTTGTTTGTGCGGTTTGTCAGAGCTCTACGTTTTGTGCGTCTGCACGTTGGTCTGCACCTTGGTCTGCACTCACCCTGCGGGACTGCGTTTTTGCAGGTCGTCTGGGCGCGGTCACGTGACAACATTTTTTTCCCCCTTCCGGCCGAAAGTTTCTGTTGTTATTTTTATCGTGCTCGTCCTCCTCTCCGGTGATTGCCTGTTGGTGGTTTCGTCAGTTTCGGTATCGTGTTGACGGACTCATGTGTTGCGTGTTAGCAGCGCATCCTGTCCTAAGCCGTCGCAGGAGGCTTACAAACCGGACTTGTCTCAGTCGGTCCTACTTGATTGCAAGTGTGGAGACGGGCCTTTATTCAGCGTGTGTGGGACTGGCTCGACAATTGATACTTTCGAACGTGACACCCCGGCGGTGGTGATGTTCTGAGCTTTTGCAGGCGTCTCGCTTAAAATTTTTAATCGACAACAAAGGCGAGCTGGATATCACTCTGTCCTGCCTGCACGTAACAAATGTAAGTGCGTACACTACGTAGCACAAATTTGGCACTTTTTTTTTTTTTTTTGCCTCCATATCGTGCGAGCGCGTCTTCGTATGGTTGTATCTCGCTTTGCATCTGGTTCCCATCTTGTTTTTAACCTCCTTGATGTTTCTTGACCGGTCCATGACAGGAGTTTTTAGCGATTCAGCTGCTTTTAAGAAATAAATAGAGCGTGAAATAAATACAAAAACAAAACAATGGTGTCACATTCCGTAATGTTGGGCGCAACCAAGCAAACGTTACGTTTGCTTGTTTTTTTTTTTTTTTTTTTTGTTTTTTTGCATTCTACATTACATGGAAACTGCACTGCATATTTGTTTTCGAAAAGTGCGTCCGTCCAACTCGTTGGTCCGTCTTGAACCGCAACGCCGCCGCCGCCTTGCTGGGGACTGTGCCCGAACGACCTCCAAAAAAAGACATCCCGCCGCTCCTGTTTTGCGCGTCTAAAAAAGTGATCCCTCGATTTCCGCCTGATGACGCCATAGAAGTGTCATGTTGTCGCCGGTCGCGACCCTGGTGGTGTCCTAGCAGCTGTGGTGGATATGAGGGACGCCTGTTCTGCTGCAGGTCGCTCTGCATTGAGACAGTCCATGGAAATTACCGCAGCCGGAAGTTGGGACTCCTGAGACGTGCCTGAGACACCGCGACGACAGCGACACTCGCGTTCGCTTGTGCTTTTCGCCAGCATTCCTACGACCAACCGCCAGAATCGCGTCATGCAACGGCATGACACTCCGGCTTCTGTGACGTCATTTGTTGCCACTTCGAGACCAGTTCTGAAGGGGCGGGATAGGACGCTAAACACACCAGTCGGAGACACGCTCCAGGTATCATACTCTCGGTCCCAGAAGAGCTGCAGCAGCGAGGTGAACGTTAACGCGGCATTTTTGATCGGTTTGGTAATCCAGAATTTTTCAAATTATCAAGCTGTACAATGCCCCTAAGCAATACGTACCTCGTGAACGGTGACAAGGACCAAAGGAATGCCGTGACGATGCCACCTATACACGCCGAGATTTTAAAAACTAACCGGAGGTAAGAGGAATGCGCGGGACCGCGTTTTCGCTCATGGATGCGTAAACGTCGACATTGTTTTTGGGTGCTGTCGCAGTGCTCTTGGAGATGATCAAGTGGTCCGGCACGTCGAGGGTTTGCTCCGATTGAGGGGATATCCCTCGACAATGACGCGGTTTGACGACACGCCGCTTTCAGGACACGTGGAGAAGGTCTTGATCGAGTATCCTGAATCCGAGAAGGTAACACCGCTTTCGTGTCTTGGGCCAAGAGCCGTCATCGCGAACAAATGACATCCATAGTAAACCCGGAACAGAAGAATAATAAAAACACGGACAGAACAAAAAAATCTGGCGAACAAATTAAAAAAAAAGGGGGGGGGGGGGGGGGGGGGAGGGGGGTCTAAAGATTTGCTTGCCTTTTTTTTTTTCTCGTTCATGCTGTAACTGAACACCTCTGGCATCCCCGAACCAGACTGAAAGACAATGCAGCTTTGAAGTTGGAAGCTGACTTGTGGGTGTATCGGGTATTTTCAAGATAGAAATATCTGACCTGGATGTTCTGATATATACTTTTATGGCAAGTGATAGCGTGTCTAATTAAACATTGAAAATGAGAGCTGAGCAGTGCCTTTGATACTACTCAGCCTTGGCTCATGTAGCTTTCGCTTCTGTCGAAGAGAACTTGTACTGATTGATCGAAGGAAGCGAGCCTATTGGAAATCCTAGGCAAATTTTTTGTAACAAATGTTAAAAAACCTTTTTCAAATGTCTCGTAGCTCCTAGAAGGTTTTGTAGACTAAAATATCTTGTGCCTGCCATTGCACAGTGTTTTTGGATTTATCAGAGGAGGGCTTACATTTCCGCATCTCATCCCAGGGATCGTTCATTCATAACAGGACTGTCCTGCACCTTTTTTTCATCATTGTCATTCTTGCAGGATAACCTGGCACACATGCCTCTGGTGCCTCACGTCTACCATGTGAACGCCGATGAGATGGGGGTGGAAGAATTGGAGGATGGCATGGCAGCAGCAAACCACTGGGTCTTACCCTCAGCCGAATTTGAAGGGCTCTGGGAGAGCCTGGTATTCGACAGCAAGGTCAAGGATGAGGTGACTGCTCTCTTAGTGGAACACCATCAAAGCATGAACTAACAGGCGGCCATGTTACGCCCATTATTGCAGCTGCTGAGCTATTCATCTACAGCACTCCTCTATTCGGACAAGAATGTTGATCACAACATTGTGTCATGGAACAAGGTGGTCCTTCTTCACGGTATAATTCTTTACCCTTTCCCATCATTGTTCACTGTGCAGTTATGAAAGTGCTGCGCCAAATTGCACCGTCATAGAAAGTCTTCTACATCTTGCGCCTTTTTTGCAAAGAATTGTGCCACACCTGCGCCGAGGTGGGCTTGAGCATAGCAAAAAATAAAAATGTTTTATTATTGGTTGATTTTAATATTCAAAGTAAAAGGAAACGAGAATGGTACAAATATGTATTTCATAACGTCTTTACCCACCGTATAGTTTGTTTCATCTTAGTTCAGAGCACAGTCGAAGGCTTAAACACATAGTCACAAACAGACATACTAAAAGTGCACGTCTTGGGGAATTTGCAGCACCTGATTAGTTTAGCCCATGAAAGAGCATGTATAGATAGATGACGAATGCCATGATGTGCTTTTGATGCAACTTGATTGGTATCATTGACTTGTAGCATCGCCTGCGCTTTAACTTCAGATGAAACGAAGTGTAAATGTTGCTCTTCAACCCCGCTGGCCCCTCATCGTCTGAATTTTCAGACAATGTCAGGAGCTCAAAGTCGCGAGAGAATTTTGCAAAATAGTGGGATGGTGGCTACTGTAATCGACAGACCCTATGTTGTGTCTGGTGGTTTAAACCAGAAAGAAACCGGTTAAGCAAACTAACAACTTTCTTTATTCATGGTTGCCGAACGAATCCCCTTGGATTGGCTTGCCTTTCTTCGGCTTACCAAACAGCTTGCTAAAGTCATATAGAAACTGAAATCAAAACGCAACACCCAGGGTTTCTTTACTCCTGAGGATATCACTTGATTAGCGTGTCTGCCACGTGCCTCCATAGTGTGACTACAGTATACTGTGGCACTTGTGCCACTCGCGTCGACCTCCACGACCTCACACCAGCGCGTGCGCGTCGAGCGTCACCGCTTTGCACCGGAGTGCTAGGAGCAGTGGCTGACAAAGTAGAGGGCATAGATTAGCACGATTGGCTTGGAAATCATGCTCAGTACTGTTATGATTGGTAAAGGCGAGTGAGTTTGGGGCACATATTTTTATTGATAAACGTCATAGCAGATATGCTGATTTTTTGCCAGCATTTTACAGGAATGATATGTGCAGGCTAAATTAACTGAGTGTAAAAGGGGGAAGGAGAGACAGGCTTTATCTCAGCTGGAGTGTTGCACTAAACTTCATTTTCAACTATTTTTTAATACCCATTGTAATTATAACCTACTTTGACCTCAGCCTTGTTTCTAAAAAAAAAGGCTATGTTCCTTTTGCTTCCAATCTATTATTACTACAAAAGATAATAACTAATATGTTTCAGTATCAAAGAGGACCCCTTAAAGGGGTACTCCACCGATTTTTTGAGCTACCTCAACTAACTATATTTTCTCACTCCCCGGCCTTTACTCTCTCCGGTATGCTATTTAGAATCGCGAAATTCATAATAGTTATTGCGAAATCGGCAAATGAAAATGATGCAAAAACCAACATTCAAATATACGCGCGCTTTTCAGGGCCGTGACGTCAGTGGCAGGCAGGCTTGCCAGTCGAGTAAGCAGCCAAAAAATAGAATATGCCAATCATTTGTTCCGTGCTGGAGCGCGGGTACTGCAGCGAGCTTCCCAAGCATTCATTTGACACCATGAAACTGCTTCGAATCAGTTTAAAACAAAATCTACAGCCCAAAGAGTGAACCCCTGCCTTCCACTGACGTCACTTTTTCATTGTTGCCAGTAGAGACTTCCAGCTTGAAAAACACGGTGAGGACCAAAACTGTAAATTCAATAACTTCGCGAAAAAACAATATTTTGACCTAATATTTGGGATACTATTTTCGCGATGTTTGTTGATTAGTTTAGCAAAATTTCAAGCAAATCGGAGACAATGAAAAAATCGGTGGAGTAGCCCTTTAACCATTTTCAGGTATGAACTCATTTAATGATGCCATCACATTTTCATTTTCATGTGACATGGTAGCAGATTTCGGCATCTACTCCAAAAGTGTCAGTGGTTGCTCCAAACCAATATTTTTCTTGCTACAAAAGCTGCTACAAATGATCCAATGCCACTTGCATCACTGACTGTGTCACTTGCTAGAATATTTTTGGGGTGTGATCTTTCTGAGCGAAGCAAAAATTTTATAATTTTCCGCAATTGTGGCAGTGGTGTCCCCTTGTGAACATTGTGTTATACGCTCATTATTATTTGATGCTAGTGAGCTGCAGTTTGATGTGACCTGCTTGGACATGTGCCTCACTTGTAGATATGTGACTTTCTTGAACCTTCGGAATGTCAGGTCCCCCTGGCACGGGGAAGACGTCACTATGCAAGGCTCTTGCTCAGAAGCTTACCATTCGGCACAACTCTCGATTCAAGTATGGCCAGTTGATAGAGATCAACAGCCATAGTCTGTTCTCCAAATGGTTCTCGGAGGTAAACTCATTGTTTACAATACCCTTCCCCGCCACCCGTGTGAGATCGTGATGACTTACCCATCGCGTATTGATTCCTCAGAGTGGCAAGCTGGTCATGAAGATGTTTCAGAAGATACAGAGTTTGATTGATGACGAAGACAGCATCATATTTGTTCTTATTGATGAGGTACTGTGTTTACTTGGGGTTTTGAATATAGTACTCTAAATTGCACATTGATTGATTACATTGTGTGACATTATTGTTAAAATTCCAAGCTAAAGATTAGAATTCTCTTGCAAAACATAAAACTGAAAATATGAAAACCTAATGTTTAAAGGAGCTGTGCAACAATTTCAGGGCTTTGCTTAAATAATCGTGGAAGTTGATGCCTGACACTTATGAAGTGAACTACAGAAAACAGCCTGGATACCCTAATTTTTATTTTAAAAAATGAAAAAGATCCAGGTTTTTGCCACCTCTCAACTCGTACATCGTCTTCCGGGTCACGTGTGCAGTGACGTTGATAAGGTAGGCATGGGGTTCCGGAAAAGTTTTCTCTTTAGAGCCATCAGTGAGCAGCCAGAATTCATCCACTCGCAATCGCATGACCACGTGCTGGCGGGCCCTGCGCAAACAATACGGTGAAAGGAGGAGAGTCTCATCCGCGTCCGGCCATACCCATCCGGCCCTGTCCCCCTCCGGCTTCTGGCGGCTGTTCGCGGTAGCAGATAGAGCTGACGGTTTTGTGGACCTAGGATAGATAGCGCCACTAAAACTCCGTATAATAAAAGTTTTGTCGATGATACCAGGTTTTTGACGCATTTATTATTTATGTTGGAACGGCAAGATTTATAGAGAAGTTACCTTTTATCGAGCAGGTATTCGCACAACTTGCTATTTTTCTACCAGACTCCCCATTGACGTCATGCCGCATGTTTCTCATGGCCGCCGCTCGCGGCTGCAGGTCGGGGAATATTCTAAGTCTTGCCTCGCTATTACGCGGCGGAATTGCAACATTTCAATGAAAGAAGGTGTGTTTTTTGTCATTTGTGACAAGGTGAACAATATCAAAAGCAGAAGATGTCGATTCTTTCAACGTTAAAATCGTCGCACAGCTCCTTTAAAGATTGCAATGTTGATAGCTCACCAGCAAACCTGGACCTGTTCTGTTATTTCTGCATAAAGCAATGCAGAGGTAACACCAGGATTTGGGGGAGGCTTTCTGTTGCTTAGGTGCATTGAAACTCAGGCTGAGTGAACCCCATCCCATACTGTTTGTGTGGTCTAAATATACCATATTTACTCGAGTAATAGCCAAACTATTTATGAACAAGGCCCTTGCGTTGGCTTTCCCAAAAAACATATATACACCCAATCATCGCATTGCGCATAAATTACATAGCGAGTAACTAGATCTAGAACACAATTCTCCATACAAATGCAATCTTCACAGATGGTATCTTCATGCGAAGACGTTATCTCTGTCCTGTAAGCCGCTGGAATCATGCTGTCGATTGCGGTGATTGGCAATTCACATGCTCCATGGAAAAGCGAACCCTCAGGTTTTTTTCATACTCAGTGCGGCTATTAGTTGAGTAAATATGGTACAGTAGCAGACAAAAGTAGGGGATGAAACACTTTTTGATCATAACTTTTTTCTACTGGACAAAACCGGCTCATTTTTGGATATGATATGTGTTTATGAGCGGGTCACAATGCCGCCTTAGGCTGTACTGTGATCAGAGGAATGTCATCGCTCGGTATTGGGCATATTCCAGGGTCATCGTATTTTTATCATTTTTTCTGTTTCTCTTTTTTTTCTTGTGGTTTCTGCTGTATTATGGTGCCGCCACATGCCGCCATCAATGCGCCTGCACGCACAAAGCTAGATAAGCACGGTACTCTGAGGAATAAATCGTGATACAGCTGTTTCTTTGAGTTTTGTAACATTATTGTGTTGCTGTGCATTCAGAAATGGGTAAAACGGCTGAGATCCCAGTTCCAACTCGCTAGGCGGTGATCAACATGAGGGAGTCCGGAATGCATGTAATGGACATTTCGAGGGCCCTCAAGGTCCCACAGCCGTCCGTATCAGGTAACCTGCAACATTATAAGCAGGCTGGGACCATAGAGAACTCTCAGCTATCCGGCAGGCCTCATTCCACTACTTTGCATCAGGATACCCGCATCGTCCGTCGCTCCCAGGCTGATCCCACTTTGACTGCCGTCGACATCGTCATCACCGAATTCCACGCCAGTGGCAACCTGCACATCAGCCGAAAGACCATCTCCCGTCGTCTCAGTGCTGCTGGATTGAATGGGAGGCGCCCCGCCAAGAAGCCGCTCGTAGAAGTTAAGAATCGACGTACCAGAGTTGCGTTCGCGCACCTTCGTCACTGAACCTTGGCCAACTGGAGTAGGGTGCTGTTCACCGACGTGAGCAAGTTCAACTTGTTCGGTAGTGATGGCATCCGATACATACAATGTCCGGCTGGGCACAGATTCAATCTCAAATTTATTTTTCGCCTCTTCTCGCAATCGGATGGGCTCTGTCAAGATTGACAGAATAACGACCGGCCAAAGCTACAGGGACATGATGGTCAACAATGTCATTCCGTGGGCCAACCAGAACATGCCTCCCGACTGGATCCTGCAGCAGGACAGCGATCCAAAGCACACCTCCAGGGTCGCGAAGGATGCCTTCCAGCAGCCTCAAGTCCGTCTTCTGCAGTGGCCTGGCCAGTCCCCAGACCTGAATCCGATCAAACACATGTGGGAGGAGCTGGAGCGAAGAAAACATACCAGAATATGAATCAGAAGTTCGACCGGCTTTGCTGAGGAATGAGCGCGCATCCATCCAAAAACTTGTGGACTCTATGCCATCCCGTTGAGAAAGCCATAATCAAGTCTGGTGATTTCCCGACAAAGTATTCGTTCCTGTTTTATTACAGCGGAGCTGTTAAGGGCTGTTTCCCTAGGATCACGTCCGGTACCAAACAAATGCCGACACCCGTGGCCGACACTACACTCTGGTTGCCGCCGTCGCTCATAGATGGCGGTAGCTGTCCAGAGTGTTGTGTTTGCCGGTTGTCTGCTTGCCGCCGTCGCTCATAGATCGCGGCAACATTCCTTCGGAGGAAGAAGAGCGGGAACGGAACGAGCGGCGATGTGCGCAGCACTGCGAATGGTTTCGCAATTGCCACAAGGCGACTATCGCCTGAAGTTACACTGCGTCGAGCACTTCAGATTTCCTTGCGAAAGAAGAGCAGTTCGCTCGCCTGGAAAGCCACCGCTGAGAACAGAAGCTACAGCTCCGCTGCTCTTCTTTCTTCACCAGAGTGGAAAGGCTGAAAGGTTTTGTTTTTGAGTCACTGTTTCTTTTTTGTTGCATAAAATAAATCTGATGCACACATATTTTAGCAAATTTGTATGACTTTTGCAATTGAGAACACTATGGTATGCTCAATCACAATCATCAACCGATTCACACAAGTATGGGTAATGTTCCGAACTGAATAACCCATATCATATCCTAAAATGAGCCGATTGAGTCCTGTAGAAAAAAAGTTATGGTCGAAAAATTGTTTCATCTGATACTTTTTCCCGCCATTATATTGGCGACTCCAGCAAAATCGATGCCGCATAGCTCAAGAGGGGAGGTCGTTTTGACTCTGTCATCTGCTATCGCTGCTGGGTTCTCGTAGGCTGCATAGAAACAAACATTGTTTCCAGTCATTATTTTTATGCTTCCGCCGTGTAATTCCTATGCACTGGCCAGAAGAAGGTTTCTACCGTCGAAAAATCGCTTTCCTTTCATATGTAACACCAATTTTATACTGCAGTGGAAAAAATTTATGGTCATCCGCGTGCCGAACGATGAAAACGACCTCCTTTCATCCACGATGTCGCCTGACCAGCGCGCCCCCTATAGTTCACTGGAGTCGCAAATATCCTAATGTGATAATTTAGGGGAGAAACAATGGTTTGACCTGAGGTGTGGTGTAACATCTCGCAAGGATAGTAGATTGCTCTTAGAAGTTCACAAGGTCAAGAAATATTAGGTGCAGGACTGAAATGTTGAAAACCTCCTTTCAAAATCGATTAGCAACTGGAATGGTCTCCCACGTTTCACTCCTTGTTCCTCCTTTCTATTGGACATTCGTCTATGTTTTTTACTGTAATTCTTGTGTAGTGTAGTCTTGATGCATCATTTCTTTTTGTGTAATATTGGTGTAATGCATAATTTTTTTTTCCTCTCTTTTGTGTTACGTCTATTTTGGTGCACGGTTTCTGAAATTGATGGTAAAATAATGAATTTCTGCATATGGTACTTTCTAAAATAATCCCCTTGTGCCTTGTAGGTACTGTATGAATAAATAAGTAAATGTCACACATTCTGGTGGATCTGAAGCAGTCTTTGTGTTCTGTCTTTGTTCTTTTAATGCTCCAGGTGGAGAGCTTGGCCCACTGCCGCAAGGCAGCCATCGGTGGCAACGAACCATCGGATGCAATCCGAGTTGTCAATTCACTGTTGACACAAATCGACAGCATCAAAAAGTAGGTCCGGCTGGTACCCCTAACAATGCCTCTTGGTGTTCGCTTCATAGAACAATATGAGTAATAAAACTTGCGTTGCTTAGTCGTGGAGCATCACTGCTCCATAAACAGACATTGTCCAGGAAAGAATGTTGTGTCCAGGTGGTTTGCACTGACCCATTCAAAAATTACTAGCTGGAATTGCATTTAACCATTAGGAACACTTTTGTTTTGGTATTTATGATGCCGAGAATGTTTCTTTTGGTGGAGCGTCAGTTTAGTGCCCCACTTTTGTTTACCACAACCATTGAGAAAGTCTACAAAGCTTTTGGCATATTGAGTTGTCTGTCTGTAGTTGAGAGCATTCCAGCACTATGCAAGTGTACTTTACTGAGAGTGCGTCGTTTTAAGTATTTTTCGTGAAGCGTACAATAGGCGACTTTCAGATTGTATGTTTCTCAGATTTATATTGTGATAAATGGTCACAACTTGATGGTCGATATGTGCTGAAAGGGTGTTTGTTTTGCGTCATTTTGTGGAGTCTCCCTCAGACATGAACTACATTGACTGGGAAATTTGCTGCTTTTAAAGCGCAGCTATTAGGCGCCCATTTTCGTGCTTAGCGGCGTCGGCTTAATCGCATGCGTTGCATTATGCGACGTCACAGACCTATACACCAATTCAATTCCCCACTAAATTTAGCGAAGAAACTGAATTGGTGTGTAGGTCTGTGACGTCCCATAATTAGGGTGACCAGACGTCCCGTTTTTGGGAAAGACAGTCTCGTTTTAAAACAATAAATCTGTGTGAAAACTAACGACGAAAGTCCCTTGTCTGGCAACGGAACAATCTGCTCTAGTAACACAATTTCACCTTTTGTATCCGCCTCCCCTCCCCCTTAAACCAGAGCGTCCCGTTTTTCACCCTGAGGAATATGGTCACCCTACCCATAATGCAACACTTCGCATTCAGTTTCCCTACCAAATTTAGCAGCAAAACTAATGTCACATCACCTCAACACCAATTCAGTTTCCCTGTCTAATTTAGCGGGGAATTGAATTGATGTTGAGGTCACGTGATATCAATTTTCCCGCTGAATCTAGCAGGAAAACTGAATTTTTTTATAGGTGACGTGACACAAAGTCATGCGACACCATTTTCCCCGCTAAATTTAGTCGGGAAACTGAATTGGTGTTGAGATCACGTGGCGTCAATTTTCCAGCTAAATTTAGTGGAGAAACTATGACATCGTGTGACGTCACAGGTCACGGCTTCACGAAATTCGGAGCAACTATAGCCATAAACATTTCACTTTGAAACAAACACTGCGCGCGTTACATTATGGGACATCATCATACCGTAACCTCCTTTTCCTCCCTGGCCTAAAACAGAACAAAAAAACAAATATATATGGCTGGTATCATCTCAAATGGGGCAGGCTAAAAGGGTCTCATTTTTAATTTTGGCGAAAAAAAAAAATGTTTTGGGGGCATTTCTCGAACGGAGGAGGGCGCAAACCGCATGTTGCCCAGATTTTTTGTTCTAGGAAGCGTAGAAGCCGCAGTGGCAGAAACTAGTGCCGTAAAATACAGGGCAAGCGCCCACTCAAACTTTGGAGATAATCGCAAAAAAATGGGGGATGGGCGCTTTTCCGTTTATCAATTTTAGATATAAATGTACGGTGCGTATTTTCTCAGATCTTAGAGATTTGGGAATGAGCGCTTAATGTGGAATGGGCGGATGCGCGGTATTCTACGGTATTTCTGCCTGCCATCACAGCTCGCGTGTTTGGCACCCTCTGCTGCCGCTACTGTTTTTCCTCCACCATCTTAACTTTTTCCCCTCACTTAATAGGTTCTATAAATATACCTTGATGTATTTAAAAAATTGTAGGAATTTTTTTTTTTTTCTTTTAAATTGTCAAACTTGTTGTTCAGGTCGATTTCACCACAGTGTATGACAAAATCGACATATCTCAAGACCTGTGCTCTAATTTCGCATTATATAGAGAAACGTAAACCTGTGTAATTTTTTAATTAGATTCTTAGCTTTAAAAAAAAAAAAAAAATGTTAAGTTTTTTTCTGAAATTTGTCTTTTATCCTGTTAATTCAGTGTCTATTATTTTTTATTCTTTATTACAGCCAATATCAAGTTTATGGTGATGAAGCTATGAAAAACCTAAGATACTTGGCACCTTTTGTTTATTAATCTACACGGTATCCCTATCAGGTTATTTTTTAGGATAAAGTTTATGGAGCACCTGAGGGGGAGGGGAAGAGACTAGAAACTAAACTCATTCGACTCTTTTTCTCTGTTCTTCAGGTACCCAAACGTCTTTGTGCTGACAACATCCAATATCACGGGGGTCATTGATCTTGCGTTTGTGGACCGCGCAGATATTAGACGATACCTTGGTTACCCCAGCCAGGCGGCGATCTTGAAGATCTTCGAATCTTGCATTGAGGAGCTACAAAGGGTATCAATGCATTCAGCCCGAATTACAAAGCACACTTTGTTAGGAAGATGGTTTCTTTGGTGTAGCATATGCAGTCCAAATGGCACTTTACTTTCAATCTGATTGTGCAAATCTACATTGTTTTGTAACTATTTTACTGATCTTTGCTTAAGCGCTAGTGAAATTAAAACAACACTTAAGAAATTTTGTTACATGACATAATAATATGTCATGTGAGAACTCGTAGTTTCAGATGAATTTAAAGGAGCTGTGCAACAATTTCAGGGCTTTGCTTAAATTATTGTGGAAGTTGATGCCTGACACTTATGAAGTGAACTACAGAAAACAGATTTTGCCTGGATACCCTAGTTTTTATTTTAAAAAATGAAAAAGATCCAGGTTTTTGCCGCCTCTCAACTCGTACGTCGTCTTCCGGGTCACGTGCGCAGTGATGTTGATGGGGTAGGTGCGGGGTTCCAGAAAAGTTTTCTCTTTAGAGCCATCAGTGAGCAGCGAGAACTCATCCGCTCGCGACCGCGTGACCACGTGCTGGCGGGCGGCGCGCGAACAATATGGTGAAAGGAGGAAAGTCTCATCCGGGTCCGGCCATACCCGTCCGGCCCTGTCCCCCTCCCCCTTTGGCTTCTGGCGGCTGTTCGCGGTAGCAGAGAGAGCTGACGGTTTTGTGGACCTAGGATAGATGGCGCCACTAAAACTCCGTATAATAAAAGTTTTGTCGATGATACCAGGTTTTTGACGCATTTATATATATGTGGGAACGGCAAGATTTATAGAGAAGTTACCTTTTATCGAGCAGGTATTCGCACAACTTGCTATCTTTCTACAAGATTCCCCATTGACGTCACGCCGCGTGTTTCTCATGGCCGCCGCTCGCAGCTGCAGGTCAAGAATATTCTAAGTTTTGCCTCGCTATTACGCGGCGGAATCGCAACATTTCAATGAAAAGAGGTGTGTTTTCTGTCATTTGTGACAAGGTGAACAATATCAAAAGCAGCAGGAGATGCCAATTCTTTGTTCGTTGCACAGCTCCTTTAAAAAATGAGGCGACCAAACGCGACGGAGTATGCCCTACTTAAATATCCCTTGGGAGACTCTTCAAAGAGAAATACGTGCAGATTAACATATCAACGTCTTTAAATACCATTATTTTCTATGACTAATAAAGGACCTGGAGACAAAACTACCCATTTGTGTTCAGTTTAACCCAAACACCCGAAAGACATTCAGCAGTGATTAAATGGTGCTATATGTCGTGGCTTCCAAACTACTATAGGTCATAAAATTAAGAAGGCTATGGAGTAGTTTTTTAAATGTTTAGCTAAATACAGCTCACAGTGAAATCTTAATGGTCATATAGAACAGACAGCATATTAATTTTTGTTTTGACACATTCCTTTTTTTAGAAAATAAAAAAGAATTGAGCTTTCTTTCTTTCTTTTATTTTGAGTGACTCACCAACAGCTTAACGCCTCCTTAGTGGTGCTCTTAGCAATAAGTCAATTAGTAGAAAAAATTTTAAACAGGATAAAAGCGAAATGTTAGGACGAAACAATAGCCTCAACACACTTTCAAAATTTACGCTCTTCATAAAAAATATCAAGACTCACATTCCCACATATCTGTTCTAAATGGTTATACATCAGTTTTAGGCGTGTCATGGGTGCAGCATCGTAAAAATCGGTAGGGTAAAACAAAGTATGGAGTCTACAAGACCTACGAGGAACGTGCAAGTAGATGTGACTGAGTACCTCTGGTGAATCAATTATACCATTTACGATCTTATACAAATATGTCAGTCCACGAATGGTTCTCCTGTTGTGCAACGAGTCTAACTTCACAAGTTCACAAATCCTCTCATAACTATAGAAATAATTCGGTTGAAAATGGCGATCAAACAAAACACAAATGAATCTACGTTGAATGCTCTCAATTACACCTGAATTTGTCGCTCCAATACAGTTCCAGACAACACGACTACGCACCAGTGAAGAAAACAAACGTAAAATACAAAGTGGGTTAGAAAAACCGCGTGTCACTCGGGTAATAGCTCCCAGCACTCTAAAGGAAGCATTTGCAGTTGTTGTCACATGATGATTGAAATTAATTGCTGAATCCATAAAAACGCCTAGATCACAGATGACCTCAACGCGAGTAATATCGGTGGAATCTAATACATAAGGAAAACTCGGAATTTCACACTTCCTAGAAAAGGACATGTTTTGTCTTCGACTCATTTAAGATTAGGTCATTTGAAAAACACCACTGTATTGTATTGTATCAACTGTATTGCTGCCAAAACAAGTGGACATATACGAATCATGTAATGTTGTCACATGCCTCGATAGGCCTTAATATTAGCAATAAAAGGTGCCTGTTTTGACCTAGCTTCCATTCGCAAACCCTAGTGTGTCCATGTAACTTCAGTGCCTCCAACAATTCATGTCAACATTTCTCGCAGCAGACTATCAATGAAAGAGGGTCAGGCCTTGTTAATTGTGTCTGAGGACATGCAATTTTATTGAACAACAGTGCCAGCAGGAATTCAATTTACATTATAGACCTCCTCAGGGCCTTTAATGTGCTGAAACTTCCAAGGCACAATACTTGCCTCAAAGTGGCCCTCGTAAAATTGCGATGACATGAGCCATGTTCGAGTCTGCTCACTTTCAATCAGTCTCCGCATTACCTCGAATGGGCTGGCCATCCTTTCTGTAGAGTCCCTGAAGACTCCACAAATAGAATTTTGGCATTATACTTGGGGGAAGACCAATAAAATCTAGACCCTCTCAAGAGGTCCAAAATGATACTTGGCTATGTTCCCTGTTTACATACATAAGTGTACTCGAGAATGGGCATACTCCCTTGCTTTAACTTTTACTTCAGTTTGTGATCTATTTGACTACAATGACCTTTACAGCGACCTGTGTCCTTTGCAGTAATCTCAAGCACTTTATAGCGACACCTGTCACATCCCTTACAGGCAGGCATCATTCAAGGAAGTGTCAAGTTTTTGAAGGATGCAGAGCATGAAAGTGGGCTCGGGACATTCTTGGAGTCAGTCTGTTCCAAGTCAGTTGGCTTGAGTGGCAGAACGCTTCGTAGACTGCCCTTCATTGCTCACGCAATTTTCGCAGAGGTAAGAGTAGATGGGTTTCTTCCACTATGTGAAATGTTTCTTTTTTGTGCTGTCAATTTGTGTTTTCCTGACCACCCGGTAGCATTTTTACGCTTTTTAATACTAATGAAATTGTGAAGAATGGGTATGTGCACGCCCCATTTATGGCAACCGCGTTAGCGTCAGTTTGGCCATATTTCTCGCTTTATAACTTCAAAGTCACAAATATTGCATTATGCTTTTGTAGACTCTGTTAGTACATATCATAAACATGAACTTTGAAGAGTTTGAAGAATATTAAAGATGGCCTTTTTTTTAAAATGATTTTCAAAATAATGCGTATTTAATTAAATGCCCCTGTGTGAGCAATTCTTTTAAATTTCTCCCGCTAACCAGGACAATATTTCATGCAAAGATGAACTATACACAGGGCAGCACACTGGCAAAGTTTGAAGACCTTAGCTTTTAGTGATACGGAGAAAAAAAATCTTTAATCCAGTTCGTTATTGCGCAATGTGCCGTGTTTGCGATTTTTTTTTTCTCACAATAACGACCCTAACACTTGGTGAATAATACTTTTTGTCAATCCTTCCTATGCCTAATTTGTCAGTAAATATTTATTGACTCGAAGCCAGAACAGTTTTTTTTTTTGGAGAAGCCGCCCGAAATGCCAACCATCGCGCGATATGCAAAACGCGCACGTTACTGAGGGAGTGCTTACAATTTTTTTTCGCAAAACAGTTTTTTTTTTTTCCAAAACATGGATTGGTTTTATTCTTCTAAGCATAAAGCCAGCAAATTTTTTTTTCTATCAAAATTAAAAATGGTTACCGGACATGGTTACCGGACATGGTTGTTCAATCTTATCTGAAAACGCCCTCCTGTACTCAAGTGAAAATCATATGCTCCATTGCACAAGCAGAGGTTTGGGTAAAATTTTCAGGCGCAGTCCTTGACACCAAAAGCATTCCTGGTGGCTCTGTCAAGTGCTGTGGACAGTCAGATGGAAGATGACAAAGACATCATCACTCTTTAACCTTGAATGCTCGACTTCATGCTGCCTTCACTTCCACCATTTGTGTAGTAATAAAGAACTTTTCTTTGTGTAACTTCTGGGATGGCTTTAATATTTTGGATGCATGGTGCACCCATGTTTATAAACTGATGTATTTCTGGTGCTTACTTTTGTGAACGAGGCACTGAGGACATTTTCGAACGAAAGGACAGGTAAAATTACTAGCACCTTGCTTCAGATTGATGTGTCGCACTTGTCCCGTTTGCATTGTCTAGCCGAGTACCAGTGCAGCTGAATAGTGAAGAAAACTGTTTTATTCAATTATGTATTTGAAGGAAGAGCTTCCTTATACAAGGTGTTATAGTTTTAATTGAACAATTATTTTTTTTTAAAAAAGGGGCGAGTGTTAGATGGGTGCCGTTTTTATCATGTATTTATCAGGCTCGGCACACATTAGATGAAGTGATAATCGTCATGCTAAATTGACTAATTAAATAAGACATGTTAATTTGCTTCTTAATTATTGGTTTTGTGGGTCATGTTGGAATTGCAATTTGATGACAATCACTAATAAAAGGCCAAAACAATTTAAGGAATTAGCAGAATGTTAATGGTTTCCAAGATAATAATAAATTTTTGCGTTTTTATTTTTTTTTTCCTTAATTTAAAAATTGACCGCGAAAGAGAGCGTATCAAGCCCTGCCCACAATGACGCTTTAGACATTGAGGTCGCTTGTGTCGTCGGTTCGCCCACCAAGGATACGCTGCCGAGATAGTGAGAACATGATTAAAATTACTACGTCGCTCTTCCAAGCGTCGTTGCAGGCAGGGCTTGATGCACACGTTTTGCGCACAATTTATAGATTGAGGAATAAAGCTTGAAAATTTATGAATTATTATCTAAAAAAAAAACATTACCTTTTTGCAAATTCTTTAAATTGGTCTGGTCTCTAATAGTAAATGCCGTCAATATTGCAATTGCAGCATGACCCCTAAAACCAATAATTAAAAAGTTAATTAAGTGATTGTAGTTAATTAGTCAACAGTCAAAACTATCGCAGTATGGTGTATGTGGGACATTTCGCCACTGGCTGCAAGATTATTTATTGCACAGAGCATGCCTTGTTCGAGTAAACGGAAAATACTCATTGAGATATGGTTCCACGTCCGGGGTCCCTCAGGGGTCGGTGCTGGGGCCTCTACCTTCTTTTATTTTTGTCAATGACGCATCTAAGGTTATCTCTAATTCTTCAGTTTTGCAAAACGCAGATATTAAGATATTTCAAGAAATTCACAGTGTCAGTGATTGTAGGATGCTTCAGTTAGATGCCTGTTCAATTTATAATTGGTGTATGACTAATAACCTAATCTTAAATAAGGCTAAAACTAAAGTAATGCCCTACACGCGAAAAACGCTCATCATATTTTTTCACTATACTATTCACTCAGAGGTTCCGAGTCGTGTTAGCGAAGTTCGAGACCTTGGTGTGATGTTTGATTCTTCTCTCCGCTTTGACGCACATATAGATCGAATGATTATGTCCGCCTTGCATACTCTGGGTGTTGCCTGTGGGATGTCTAGAGTGTTTTCGAACCCGAAAACATTCTTTTTTCTCTACTGTGCGTTGGCTCGATCTCATCTGGAACACGCCTCGGTGGTCTAGAACAGCATCTGTCCCAGCAGCTCCTTCAGGCTAGAGCGAGTGCAAAATAAATTCCTGTCAATCTATAGACATAGGTACCTTCACTATTACTCATGTTTGTTACGCAATGATTGTTTAATGAGTGCCCTACATTTGTCTAGCTTACATCAATGCCGTGAAAAAGCTGATATTTCATTTTTCTTTAAGGCCATTGACGGCTTTATTGGCTGTCCTGATTTGCTGGCTCAGATATCCTTTAGGGTTCCACAGACGTCGACCCGTGCGCCTATGCCTTTTTATGTTCCAGTCGCGTCAAGTGTGCACAATCCAGTGTTTCGTATGGGAAAGACCTTCACTGGTCTTGCCAGTCACCTGGGCATCTTTTGTGGACATAAAGACATTTTTTTTTAAATCCTTGTGTCTGTTGTATGACTCCAGATAATACTTTCGTAGACGTTTGTCGTTGATGCTGATCTTATTTCTGAATATAAAAGTGTCGCTCTCTTATTGTATTGCCGATGTGCAACTTTACGTCATTGTAAAAGTGTTTATTTTTTGCCCTAAGCCCCGGGAGACATTGACGTCCGACACGTTGGAGATCTCAAACCATACTGTTTTTCCACGGGGGCGCAAGCCTGAACACACGCCATCTGGCTATTGTAGATGGTTTAACGAAAAATTAAAATACTGCAGTTTCATGATGAGTCCAGGTTTCTGGAATATTTTTGCTACCATTGTAGCATTAGGAACTTTAAGAAAACAAATTTTGTGCTAACACATTTTTCATTCTAACATCTTAGTGGAATATTTTTTTTAATACCTTTTACAGTGATTTACCCTTCGTCTCCTGCAATATGCCTTTCTAAAGAAAAAGGATGCATCTTGTCACAGTAATCCTTTTGCCTTATCTGGTGCTTTCAAACACGACTGGACAGCTAGCCGTGTGTTTGAGGGAATCAAACAGCCATTTCTAAAATGTTTGCAGACAAGTTGCAACAATATACAAGAAAAGCAAAGAAGTCAATGGTTTTCATGTCACATGAATTTTAACAAAGTATTTATATGTGGAATGAATAAGAATTAAGTTTTATGCTGACCTCCTAAGGTGACCAGGTGGACCAGTCATGTCATTATATTGCAAAGGACAAAACTTTGAATGCTTGAGGTCAACCTCTGCTGGTACTGGATTGGGCTAATAGGATGGTACTGTGGTCGCATTGAATCCTTTCTGGGTGCACATTGACTGAGCAAATTGTCTTGAAAAATGAATGTTTCTTTATGTCCACTTCAGCTTCGAAGTTCGGCAATATTTTGCTGCCCCAATTTGCTGCAGACTAATCGGTCAACCTTTTTGGAACTTGGCATTCAAAATTTTGACAAAACATTGTATTTGTTCAGGTTGTCACAGTGTACTGCTATATGTACTGCTAGATATATTTTTCATATATGTATGCACACGTCATTGCATGTAAGAAATCTTTTTTTTTTTTTTTTGCTTCTTAAATACATGTCTCTTTTGTGCTTTTTGCAAATTATTTTATTGCTCTAAATTTATTCTGCATGACAAACTCCTTACTTCTTGCTGAGGTGCTGAAAGAAAAATTTCAGCGGTTCTTCAGTTTGACTTTTGAGCAAAATATATATGATCGCAGCTGCCACCACCAGTTCCCCTTACCTGGGGAACTGTGGTGGCATGACACCATGGCTGCAAGCTGGTGTATATACTTGTAAGGGCATAGAAATATTTCTGTTTTGCAGCTGTATCCATTACTGCACTCATTGTAATGCCAGCTCACTGGTTATATCTTTGGCAAACAGAAATAGGAACTTTGGAGTTTCAATAATTTATATAGCTCTCTATGAAATGATTAAGAAGCGCAGCAAGACGACGGACACAGAAGAATGCACAGAAACAGCGCTTGTGGCGCTTTTTAATCATTATGAATCGCCAACTGACCCAACTTTCTACCCTCGTTTCTATGAAATCCATAGCAAGAAGATGTGTGATGTGTGATGAATAGCATGCTAGTGCTGAAAATGTAATTGTTTATTTTATGAATAGTGCGGGATGCATAATAGAACATGTTGCGACATCAGTGTCTCAAAATTCAACTTGATGTGCCGCATGTTCCCAGCCGAACGTTTGCAGCCGTTCTAATGCCGGGGTCACACTGCTTATACATCATACAAAAAAAAAAAAAAATCAGTCTGCAAACATCAGTTATCGCGATATCTGTGGTTCGAATGCCGAGTGCCAAGTTTCTTCTTGAACCTGTTGCCAAGCGTATTAGCGCACCCAGAATTTTTGCCTGGGGGGGGGGGGGGGGGGGGGGGGGGGGGAAGGAAGGGGAAG